CAGGCAGCTCTCTGGGGTTTCTTGTATCAGGTCACTAATCCTATTCATGAGGGCTCTGCCCTATGACCTAATCACCTCCCAAAGCCCCCACCTCCTCACACCATCACTGCTGGGAGTTAGGATTTCAACGTGCGAATTTGGGGTAGGACACAAACGTTCCTTCTATAGCTCTGTTCTTTACGCTTCGGCCAAGGAGAGTGCTCCCACAATGCGAGCCTGAGCAGGCTGCGACCCTTCCGTGTCTTCCCTCTGCTCCAAGCATGCATTTAAAGTCTTCAGCCCGGATGTGAGGGCCTCCTCCTTGAAGGATGCTTCAAGCCTGGGCCCACTCCTCGCGAACCAGGCTGACCCATGTTCCTCAAATATCTTCTGGCTTTTGCAAAGGCGGTTTCCTCTTCCCCGAGCACTCTCCCACCCGCCCCCGTTACCGCAGTAACTCCTCCCCAGCCTTCCGCCCCAGCAGACACTTCCTTGGAGAAGCTGTGTCTAACCCTCCAAGTCAGCCGCTCCTCTTCCGTCCCCGCAGCACTTACATCCATCTCTATGGCAACCTCATCGTACACTACTTATAACTGCTGGGACTTCAACAGAGCAGTGTCTGGGTGTCATTTCTGTCCATCGCTGGACTTCTACTTCCCAACTCTGCAACATACTAGGCAGCCAACAGACACTGCTAACTTAATTATTCAGGGACTTGAAGGAGCCAGGGAGGGGATCATTGGCTCACTAAATTCAAAAGATGGAAAAGATGGAACAAGAACAGATGATCAGACTAACTTTGCTGGGATAATATTAGCTAACATTTATTAAGACTCTTATAACCTTTAGGGGCATTTAAACACATTCATTCATTTCACAAACCGGTGAGCCTCTGCTGTGGGTCAGCTACTGAGAACACACATATGGATAAGATGGAGCTTGTTCTCAAAAAGCTCCTACTGTGAAGACCTAATTTTGTTTGAGTCCTGTGGTAAGCTGCTGAAATGAATATTATTAATTTGGGTTGATGAGGACATTTTTGCTCCAAGTGACTTGGGACCCAACTCAAACAGGGTTGAGCCAAAAAAGGACTGAAAGTTCCAGGGAGTAGATCTGGCTTCAGGCAAGGCTGGATCCTAGATTCCACAGTGTGTCCCAGCCCAGACCGACCTGCCTCTTGGTTCTTCCTCCTCAAGGTTGGCACTGTGTTGTCACCTCAGCAGCTCTGGGTCCTCCTCTCCCATGTGGCTACAGGTTGACACCCCCATGGCTCTAAGACCAGTGGGAGAACAAAAACCTCTTTCCCGGGAGCTCCTGCAAACCCCAGCCATCCACGCTGATGACCAGCACAGGCCACTGGTCTGCCCCTGAGCCTCTTACTCTATCAGAGGAGGACAATGTCCCAGTGGTGGGAGGTCTCAAATGCTCCATGTTCCACCCCAATAGACCACCTAGTCGAAGTGTGGGGTCTTCTCAGACCTCATGGATTGCGGGTAGGGGAGGGGTGGACCCATTAAGTGAAAATCAAGGGTGTTGCTATAAGACGGGGAGTAGAAGCCAGAGAAGCAGACGACAATGTTTCACTAGTCTATCTGCTTTGGAGGTAGGGACCTGAGGCACATGGGGAGGTTAAGTGACACCCAAGGCCACACTGCTGGCACCTGGCAGAGCTCAGACTTGAATCCCAGTCAGCCTGACTTGCAGTAGCTCTTTTCACAAGGCCATCCTGCCCCAGGGAGAGCCTCAGACACAGGAAGGAACGTGGGGTCCCTACTTGGAGGCCTCCTTTGAAACCACAAGGTGCGGGGCTGTCCTTTCCACCAACTGGACTTTGGTCGGTGGCCCTGGAAAAAGCAAGTGCTGCATTCTCTGCTCCGGGAGCCTTCCTCTATCTCTTTCCTTTGGAGAAAATTCCTCTCCCTGCCAGTCATTCCAGCCCTTGCCAGGGCTCCTTCGGCTCCAGACGGAGTCGCTGCTTTCCAGATGAGGTCAACGCTGAGGCAGCTGGACCCACCCTGGCTCGACAGAGGCCCGCAAGCGGCTGGCCTCTCCTCCTGGCTCCTTCCCTCTCCTGCATCGCCCTCGGTCCTGCCAGCTCCGGGCCAGACGGAGCAGCAGGGAAAGCACAAGACTGTCTGGTGACTGAGCACAAACCAGGCTCCTGTCTGGGGCTCTGTCCCTGTGCCTGGGGCAGCCCGGCCTTCTCCGTGGGCCCACCATAGCCTGAACTGAACAGTCCATCACCTATGCACCATTTCTGTGCAGCTTTCTCCTACTGAATTACTTTCTACCACTTTTGGTCAGGGAGGGGAGTTTAATTTGCGTCCTCCAAAGAGATATGTCCAAGTCCTAACCCTGCGAATGTGACTTCCTTTGAAAATGAGATATTTACTGTTATAATCAAGTTTAGACAAGGTTATACTGATTAGGCTGGATCCTAAACCCAGCGACTGGTTTCCTTATGAGAAGAGGAACATGTAGGTGCAGAGATAGGGACACACAGGAGGAGGCCGAGTGAAGCTGGAGGCAGAGATTGGCCTGATGCATCCACGAGCCAAGGGATGCAAGGGACTGCCAACAGCCACCGGAAACTGGGAGGGGGCAGGGGAGGGAGGGGGGTCCTCCTCCAGGCTTTCGAGGGAGCAGGGCTTTCCTGCCAGCACTCTGATTTTGGACTCTAGCCTCTGGAACTATAAGAGAATACATTTGTGTTGTTTTAAGCCAACCAGTGTATGGTCATTTGTTATACAGCCCTCGGAAGTGAATACAGGGGGAGAGAGAGAGTTAACAGTGGGGCTGGTAACATGGAACCACAGAAAGACCTAGACAATCATACATTCAGATACATGGTCGCTCACCTGCTGTGTGAACTTGGGTAGGTTACGAAAACTCTCTGTGTCTGGATTTCTATATAGTGGCTGTCAGTCAATTTTAGGAGGTGGCCAGGAGAAGAGACGACGGGGCTGAGGTGTTAGGGCGGGGAGGATAAATCTTAGACACTGGAAGGCTGTCATGTAGACAAAGTCCTCAATCTATTCTGTGTGACGAGACCCTCGGGGAAGAAGTGAAACAGACAGGCCTGAATCAGGGCAGAGCTGTCTATCAAGGAGACTGCCCAGCAGGGCAAGGGTAGCCAGGAGAGGTAATGAGCTCCCCGTGGCTAGAGGAAACAATGAAGAGGCTGAAGGACTGACAGTGAGAAAGTCATCCATCACCCAGGGGAACCCTCTTCTATAACAGTGAGGATTCAATCCTGAGCTGCTGACCTCGAAGCCCATATTCTTAACTACTAGCCTCAGCTTTCTTAGCTGTTAAATGGGTGGAGACCGACAATACAATTTTTGAGGTAACTCCTAGCTCTGAAGTTTTCTTTTTCCTGTGAAACTCATCATGCTTTAGCATCCTCTGGTTTTTCCCCACAGGTCATTGGAAAGTTGGTTATTTGGAATCCAGAAGAGAGTTCACTAAAGAAACAAGTCTCTGTTGGGTTTCTCCCCCAGCTTATCTACACCCTTGGGGACTCCCTGGGCGGGGTCCATCAGAGTGGTTGACCCACTATTATGTTTCCCCTGCTCCCCGCCCTGTGTCCTCTGTCATAGGGTTACCAACTGTCCCAGTTTGCTAGGGACTGAAGGGTTTTCTGGGGCATAGGACTTGCAAGGCTAAAACCAGGAGAGTATTGGGCACATTGGGACAAATTGGTCACACTGCTTGGCGATGAGCTCATCACAGGGTCCCCAGCTGGGTCTCAGGCAGATTTGGACGTACCAAAGTGGGTCTGCAGGCAGAAGCCAAAGGAACGGTTTCCCCACTGACATGATGTGACCCAGGGACCCAGGTTGCCTTGCTTGAGGGCCTGGGGAGTGAGGAGGAGGCTCCAGGACTCTCCGGAGTAGTGCCCTCCTTTCTCGCCACTGCCGTTCTTGTTCCTGAAGGCTCGAGCCTGGCCCGCGAAAGCAGGTCTGTGTATAAAGCTGATGCATGTGCCCTGACCGGGAATTGAACTGGCAACCAAACCGGCAACCGAACCGGCAACCTTCTGGTGCACCAGCCGACACTCAACCACCTGAGCCACACCAGCCAGGGCATGTCGTGGGCTTTTATAATATCCTTTCATTATCCTTTGAATGTCTAAGGGCTCAGTATTGATGACTCTTCTTTCATTTTTGATATTGCTACTCTTATGTGTGCCCTTTTTTTTCTTACTTAGCCTATCATTTTCTTGATCTTTTCAAAGAACAAGATTTGGGTTTCATTTATTTTTTTTCTACATATTTTCTGTTTTCAGTTTCATTGGTTTCTGTTCTAATTTTTACTATTTTTACTATTTCTTTTCATCAGCTTGCTCTAGGCTTCTTTCTCTAGTTTCCTAAGGTGAAAACTTAGATGATTGATTTTAGATCTTTCTTCTTTTTTTTGGTGATATATGCATTCAATGCTATAAATTTTCCTCCAAGCATCGCTACTGTTGCATCCAACAAATTTTGATAATTTGTATTTTCATATTGTTCAAAATATTTTGAAACGTCTCCTGAAACTTCTTTGACCTATGTTTTATTTAGAAGGATGTTGCTTGATCTCCAAACACTTTGGAATTTTTAAGCTATCTTTCTGCTATTGATTTCTAGTTTAAATTCATGGTGGTCTGAGAACATACCTGTAGAGGAACAGGATTATATTCTGACATGGTGCATTTTATGCTGTGAGGGCTCTGGATTCTGTTATATTCTCAAAATGTGTTTATTTTCTGTTTTATTAGGCAATTACCTTCAAACTCTGCTCTTGGATGGCAGCCCACACCTTGGTTCTTTTTTCAGTTGTTTGTTTTATTGCTTCTCAGCTGAAGCTGTTTCCATGCATGCGTGGTGCAAGGGTCAGTCAGAGATTAGGATGAAGTCTGTTCGGGCGGGGCCTGGGGCTCTCCCTCCCTTGGTTGCGCCTTTCTGCCCCACCCCAACTCTTTCCAGTTGATATAAATTTTGTCCCCTGGTTCTTCAGACCAGAGAAACTGCAGCTTTCCTATCTGTGCTGTGCTGACTGTGGCCTGCTCCCAAAGCCATAAAACAGGGTAACTTCCCCATGCCCTTCCCTTCTTCCAAGCGTCGACTCCCATCCAGAGCCTACTTGCTTTCATTCACTCTCCAGTGCCTTGAGGTTGTGTGTGTGTGTGTGTGTATCTATGGGAGTGTCAGTTCAGACACTGGAAGATAAACCCCCAAAACCAAGGCATAGAGAGGTAACATCCCAGCTCATGGCCACTCAGCTAGCAAACTAAAGACCTAGCGTTCAAACCCAGCCCTAACCAGTTCTGCATGTCCTTTTTTTTTAAATCCTCACCTGAGGATATTTTTCTATTTATCTTCAAAAAGAGTGGGAGAGAGGGAGGGAGGGAGGGACGAAGAGAGAGAGAAACATCCATGTGAGAGGTACACATTGACTGGTTGCCTCCCTCACGACCCCAACCAGGGCTGGGGACGAACCACAACCGAGGTACGTGCCCTTGACTGGAGTCAAACCTACGACTCTTTGGTTACTGAGCCAAACCGGCCAGGGCTGCATGTCCTTTTTATACATTGATCTGTCATTTACCCCTATTCACCAACCAAGAGTCCCAGAACTTCTTATTGTTTGGGTGCCAATGGTGGGGCCTTCCAGAGTCTCTGACTCTCCCTTTTCATAAAATCCGTCCAAACTTAGAAAGGAATTTTATTTATTGCTCTCTTTCTGGTCTGTACATTCTCTGTCCTGAGAAAGGATGGTGATTAAAATGCATCAGCTTTGAAGTTAGAGATACCTGTGTCCTAATCCTACCTCTGACATGCAGGTGACCTTGGGCAAGTCATTTCGGTTTCTTCATCCCTAAAAGGTGAGGAGACAATATTCTTTTTTTAGAGGTTGACTTAAAAAAAAATTGATTCTAGAGGGAGAGAGGGGGAGGGAGGGAGAGAGAAAGAAACATCAATTCATTGTTCTACCCATTCATGCGTTCATTGGTTGCTCTTTGTATGTGCCCTGACTGGAGATTGGTGTATTGGGAAGATGCTCCAACCAACTGAACTACCCAGCCAGGGCAGGATGCAGTGGTATGTGGTGAGGGTTAAATGAGATACTTCATTTAAAGGCATTTCCCTAGAGAGAGGGCACCCAGGGGGCTGAGCCCAGGACACTGCTGGCACCCCTGGTTGGGAGGGCTCTGTCACCTCAACCTGAGTGGTATAAGAGCCTAGAGCGGGGTGAGTAGGCCCACATTTGGGGGAAAAGACAGAAGGTCCAGAAGGATTCAGCTCCCACCTGAGATCCATAGCAGAGGCGGGAGGCCCGGCCAGCTCCCCGGCCCGCCTCCTGAACCAGTGGTGCTCTCCCGTGGGAGGGGTGCCTGCCCGCTCGGGCTGGGCCTCAGGAGCTGCGGGAGGCAGGCACGCCCTCAGCCTGGAGTCCGGGGCCACGAGGAGGGGCTGGAGCACGGCCACAGCAGAAAGGGATGAGGAGGAGGCTTCCATTTTATTCTCCAGTGGGCTGGAACGGGGTCTAGAAAAAACAAAGAGAGGCGGGAAGTCACTGGAGAAAGGAGAGGAACGGAGGGTGGGAGTGGGGGCTGGTGAGTGGGGACGGGGAGGGAGGAAGAAAGCATGGCTGCGGCGGGACGGGGAGGGACTGCTCTGGTTTGGGCCTGGGCGCGGGCCAGCGGGCAGCAGCCAGCACAGCAGCTGCCAGCCCCTCCTGGGGAGCGGGCACCGCACTGCGGCAGGGAGAGACAGCAGAGAAATGTGCCTCTCTGCCCGCCCATCCCTGCCGGCCAAGGACGCATCCGTGCACTGAGCACTGACCAGGTTATGCCCTTTTACCCACCTAACTTATTTAACTTTCAAAAAACTGCCTACACAGCCTTAGGGTCTTTTTTTATTTATTTTTATTTTTTTATTTTTTTATAGAGGGGGAACATGAAGCTTAAAGAGGTAAATGAGGAGCCTGAAGCCACCCAGCTCGTAGGTAGCAGGGCCGGGATGCCTCATGCCCCACCCCAGCTGCCTGTCCCATCCCCAGCGGCGGCTTGGCCAGGTGTGGGGATGGATGGGACGACAGGCCAAGGCCCTCTCAGTCCTGTTCCTCTGCCCGCAGCTGGCCGCTCTCTCTGAAAGCCAGCCTCTCTCAACGTTCATCATCCGTCCGCTCACTTTTCGCTTTCTACGCTATGTGTTGGACCCTAGGGAGGGCACACGGAACAAGCTAACGGAGTCCTTCCCTGCCAGAGTTCATAGGCTAGTGGGGTCCCCGAGGAGACTCAGAGTGATTTGGAATACATTTTTTTTTTTTTATCCTCACCCGAGGATATTTTTCCATTTTTTGTACAGATAGAGTGGGAGGGAGAGAGAGGAAGAGAGAGAGAGAGAAACATCGACGTGAAGGGACACATCGAGTGGCTGCCACCCGCACGACCAACCAGGGCCGGGGACAAACTGCAACCGAGGTACGCGCCCTTAGCGGGAACCGAACCCGGGTCTCTCCGGACCGCAGGCCGACGCTCTAACCGCTGAGCCAAACTGGCCAGGGCGATTTGGAATACATTTTAAATCCAGTCCCCCCGTCCCCAACTTACACACACACACACACAGTCCACCTGTTCTTTGCTCTTAGCCTGGCCCCAGCATCTCTCCCAGCCACCCAGCCAGAAGGCAGGGAGCAGGAGTCTCCGGCTGTCTCGCCAGCCCCGCTGGCAATGGCAGGCACCCAGCTCTGCTCAGCATGCCCTCCAGGGAATTCTGGGCTCCCAAACTCATGCTGGTGTCTTGTGCCACCATTTTCTCCCCTCCTCCTCCAGCCCCGTGAGTGGACCTATGTGCTTTCACAATGTCATGTCTTCTTTAAAACTATATATATTTTTATTGATTTTTAGAGAGAGTGGAAGGGAGAGGGAGAGAGAAAGAGAAACATCAGCGTGAAAGTGGAACATAGATCAGCTGCCTCCTGCGCAACTGAGCCCCCAACCCGGGCACGTGTCCCGGCCGGGAATCGAACCAGCCATCCTTTGGTGCCTGGATAATGCCCAACCGACTGAGCCACACCGGCCAGGGCTGCCATGCCATGTCTCGACACTGCCACAAAGCCACTTGGAGCCTGTCTCCCCATCGCTGGCAAGGAGGTCCTTGGGTCAGGCTTGGCCCTCAGCTCTGTTTTCTCTCACGATCCTCCAAAGTTCCTCGCGCAGACACATGCTCCCTGTCTGGCTCTCCTCACGGGCCTGAATTTCTGTGGTCCCTCAGGCTCAAGAGGGGCTGTTGTTGTTCTTGATTAATAAACCAGCTCCAAATCCGACAGTTTAGGTGGGGAGTCCCCAGCCAAGCCTCGCTTCCTCAAGTTGATCCCCCTTTCGGTGGCAAATCCTGGGAAAAGTATAAGGAGCAGGGATCCAGATCTCTTGCTACGGGTGGTCCAGCAAGCGATGTTGGGGGGCAGGCCCAAAGAATACAGACACAGCACTCGCATGCCAGGCCCCGTGCCATGGGAGCTCCTCAAAACATTTTCTCAGTTCTGATAGTGACCCTGCAGTGGGATTCTTACAGGGTAAGACCTGGAGTCTCAGAGAGGTGAAGTAACTTGTCCAAGGGCACACAGCCAGGGAGTAGCAGACTGGGATTCCAGCACCTGTGCTCCTGCCCCTTCACCACATGGTTCTGGTGCTCCCCCTCCCCCCTCTCTAAAGACAGGACAGTGCCCTTCTGCCCTCCCTTGACCCTTCCATCTCAACCCCAAGCTATTGGACATTGCTGTCATCTCCTCCACTCCCAGCAGGTAGGGCCACCTCCCCACTTAGTGACAGAGAAGCGCAGCACCTCAGGGCCACAACAGGCCAGGACCCCATGGCCCACCTGACTCCAAAACAGTTATTGGGCTGGATGCTGGATGGTGGCCAGAGGGAGCCAGGAGAGGAGAGAGAAAGCCAAAGAGATCGTTTGAAAAATAAAGTGCTCTGATGGGCGCCAGGGGCCTCTGGGGCTGCTCACGTGATGGGAGGCCAGCTCTCTCACCGCCCATCCAGCCCAGCCCCGGCGGCTCGAAGCCTGGGTTATAAATAGCTGGGAATATAAATGTTGGGCAGAAAGAGCAGAGTCCAGCTTGCTCTTGGGCTGAGAAACATGGAGTGGGGTGGGGTGGGGGACAGTGGCTCGTCTGGGACAAGACTTGCGGTTTGGAAGAAAGATCTATTTCTTCCAGCAGCAGCTGTGGGACAGATCTGGGTCCTGAGCTGCCCTGGGTGGAGGTTTCCACTGGACCCTGGGATTTCCCCGCACCCTGCACTGGGACTCAGCAGTGCCTACTTCTGTCCTAGATAACCATGGACTCTTCGCTAGGGTCCAGAGGCTCTGAGGTCTGTGCTGATGGGGAGAAAATTCATTGAGTACCTCCACATCATGATGCCGTCAATAACTTAAATTTTTTGAGCCCCTTTTATGATCCAGGCACCGGCCTGGGCTTCGCAGATCACCATCAGCTGCCACTTGTTGTCTACCTACAGCTGCTGTGCTCAGCATTTATTAAAGGCTCATTTGTCCAGCTGAATTGAACCCTTACATCTATCTTGTGAAGTAGGTATTCTTACCCCCATTGTGCAGATGAGGAAACTGAGGCACATAGAGGTTAAATGACTTGCCCAGGGTCATATAGCTCATAAGTGGCAGATGGAGATTTGAATTTGGGTCTCTGACTCCAAAGTCTTAGTGCTTCCCACCACAGGTCCCTTTCTAGGGGAGCAGATGCTTAGAAATGCTTCTTGGATGATTGAATGAATGAATGAGTGAATGAATGAATGAGCCAAGGAACATGTGTTTGTCGAAGGTGATGGGTGAGATTTCCAAGCCCTGAGAGGTTAGGCAGGTTGTTCAAGGTCACAGAGCCAGACAACAGCAAAGTAGGTGAGGAGTCCTGGCTCTGGTCCCAGTGCCAGCTTCCTTCACAAGCCTCCCTGCTGCTTGGAGCAGAGGCAGCCTCTTGTTGGCCACCGTTTCACCCTTACTCACACCTAGGGTAACGGTGGATTCCGATTCCAGGCCGACTCATTTCCTACCTTTCAGGGAGCCTGGCGAGAGGCCCAGGACTGGGCTCTGCCCCTCCCCCGGGCCAGCAGTCAGGGCAACTGGCCAGCCAGTCACGGGAGGGTCATCTTAGTCTCTCTCCCTTTTCTCGAGATCCTTCCAGCTAGAGTTCCTGCTGGGTGGGTTGGTCCCCTGGGTTCTGAAGATTGGCTAGGCATTACCACCCCACCCGTGCCTTCTGGGAAGTCTGCCACCGAGGGGCTGTGTGGTGGCGTGGGGACAGCCAGCTTTTCAGCCCTGGGCAAACCAAAGGCCCTTCTGCGGTCTGTTTTTACTCGTCCCCAAATGGGGGGACTTGGCAGGGTGGCCTTCTGGGTCTTACTCTGCGTCCTGGGCTCTTCCTAGATGAGCCTGCTGGAAACCATCTGCAGCCCCCCCAACCTCACTCTGGATTGGAAGGGGTGGAGGCAGTGAAGGCATCAGGGCCTCCTGCCAGGCTCCCTGAAGGGTGGGAAATGAGTCTGCAAGGAAATGAGAATTTGCTGTTAATCCAAGCATGAGTAAGGATAAAACAGTTGCCAAAAAAGAGGTTGCTTCTGCTCCAAGTGAGGACAGCTGGTACTGAGACCAGAGACAGAGCTCCTGATCGCTCTGCTGCCCGACCACATCTGCATCTCATGACCTCGTTTCCTCAAGGACCAGACCCCTCTTTCTCTTCTCTTTAACTCCTTCAGTGTGTCGACCTGCTCTGCCTTCCCTTCCTCATTTACCCCTCACTCTTTCAGTCGAGTCCCTGTCCCGTTTCTCAGACTTCCTCCGCTCTGCTGGCTCTGTGACACTTCACCTTTGCGACCACGCCATTATGTAATACCCCAGCCTCCAGTCGCCCTCTGATCTCGCTGGACACATTCTCTCCATTCCTTCCCAGCAGCTCACTCTTAGATACGAGTGTTCTCCAAGATCGCGTTCTTCCTCTGGTCTGCGGGCCGACGCTCTGACCCCTGAGCCAAACCGGCCAGGGCTAAGATCGTGTTCTGAACTCTTCCCGTGCATGGCCCCCCTCCCCGAGGCCTTGTTCTCTCCCAAGGCTTCATTGTGACTCCGGAGGCTCTGCATTCAGCCCAGCTCTCTCTTCTGAGCCCTGGACCAATAAAAATTCCCATGCCCAACATTGTCTTCAGGAGGGCCCACAGCCCCTCCGACTCAGGATGCCCCAGCCCCAGCTCGTCCTCTTCCCACCAAACCTGACGCCTTCTGAAGACAGTCATCCACCCGATTGCTAAGGCCAAAACGTGAGATGCATTAGGCCCTTTCTCTGTCTCCACCGTCGCTTCCCAGCCTCTCACCCACTCCGTTCTAAACTGTCTTCAGAGCCTCTCCTACTTTCTAAGTAGCCCTCTGCTTCAGCTTCTCTTTACCTCCTCAGTTCAGGCCCTTATTTTCTCCTGCCCGGTCCTCTCTCCACAGAGTGGCCCGAGTGAATGCTCAGCACCACTGGATCATGGCAGTCCCCTGCTCCAAACCCTGCACTGCTCCGGGGCGGGGGCACGGCGCGGGGCACACCCCTCAGCCCGGCTACTCTCTCCCCAGCTAGTCTATCTTCAAAGTTTTATAAAACAGTTTTATGGAAACATACTTGATATGGAATAAAATGCAGTCACGTTAGGTGTGAGGATGGTGAGTTTGGGTGACTGTACACAGTTACAGGCCCATTGTCATTATCCTAAACATTTCCCGGAGTCCCTTTGCCATCACTCTCCCAACCCCAGGCAGCTGCGGATTTGACCTGTGTCTATGTTGTTGCGCCTGTCCCAGAATATGTCATATAAACCGAATCAGGCAGTGTGTGGTCTTTCGTGTTGGACTTATTTCATTGAGCATAATGTTTTTGAGATTCATACACATTGCTGTATGTATTAATATTTCATTCTTTTCGTTGCTGAGTAGTATTCTTTGTGTGACTGGACTCGAATTGGTTTATTCATTTACTCCTGGACATGGGAGTTGTTCACCGTTTCTGGCTGATGTGGGTGATGATGCTGTGAACGTCACTGTGCTTGTCTTCGTGTGGACATACATTTGAATTTCTCTTGGGTAAATACCTAGGCGTGTAATTGCTGGGTCATATGGTGAGTGTGTTGAATTTTATAAGATACTGTTATATTGTTTTCCGAAGTGGCTACGGGATTTTGCATTCCCATCAACAACCCAGGGATGCTCCTCTCGCTCCACATCCTCGCCAACATGTGATGCCATCAGCTGTCTTACACTCCGGCCATTCTAATGGGTGTGTAGTGCTATTTCATTTCCTGGTGACTACTGATGTTAAGTGCCTTTTCATGTGCGTACTGGCCATTAATGGATCTCCTGTGAGTGCCCATTAAAATCTCTTGCCCGTTTTTTTTTTCCCCTTTATTGATTTTACAGAGAGGAAGAGAGAGAGAAACATTGATGAGAGAGAACATCTATTGGCCACCTCTTGTATGCTGCCCACTGGGGATTTGGCCCACAACCTGGGCATGTGCCCTGACCAGGAATCCAACCGACGACTCCTTAGTGCATGGGTCGATGCTCAACCACTGAGCCACACTGGCTGGACATCTGCCCATTTTTTGAATTCTTCTTGTTCACCTTTTTCCCCGCCCCCATTAAAAAAATTGTAACAGCTTTTTTTAAAATGCTGAATACAACTCTCTCAGGTACATGTTTGCAAATATTTTTCCCAGTCTGTAAGCTTAGTGGTTTTAAACTTCAGACTATGATCCATCAATGAGTTATGAAATCAATTTAATGGGTCAGGACCAATATATATGTTGAGCCAAGTAGAGTGGAAGGGTTGCTTACAGGACGCATTGCACATTGGAAAGCAAAGTACTGCGTCACACACTTTCAGTTGTGTGTGTGTGTAACACTGAGTCATGCATTAAGATGTATTACTTTCCGTGGTCATAATGTCTAAAAGCCTCTGCCCCAGCCCCATAGGTGCTCAAACTATTTATGTTTAATGATCAGAGAAGCAAATGAACGGACTGGCCAAGGCCTGACAAGTTCTCCCAATCTGCTGGGTTCCTCAGGATTCATGGCCTTTTCGGCTCATCCCACGGTCCCTCCAGGCACAGCAGTGGGAGGGGGTTGGGGCACTTTTTATAGCCCAATTCCTTTCAGTTGAGATTCTCTGTTGGTGGCTTTTCTTTAGCCACGTCACTGCTTTTCTGTGTGTGTGCACCTTGACACAAATTCCTGGGATTGTCTGCGTGAAGGATTGTACGGGAAGTCTAGATCGAGGAAAGATGAACCCTTGGCTTAATTACAGGACTTCTCAGAGCCTTCCTGTGCTAAGGGACACTGTGGGTCTCCAAGAGGGAGTTAGAGCTGGCATCACTTCTTAACTTTTTTTGAACACAACACCTCTTTCCTCAATCATATGGTCAGAAGGTGGAAATAGCTCAATTGTCCGTCATCTGATAACTACACAATCAAAATGTGGTATATCCAAACAATGGAATATTATTTGGCCATAAAATGAATAGACTACTGACATGTGCTACAAGATGGCTGAGCTTTGGGAACAGTTTGCAAGGTGTAGGCTAAGGGAAAGAAGCCAGACACAAAATACCGCGTGTTGTATGAGTCCAGAACAGGCAAATCCATAGGGACAGAAAGTAGAATAGTGGTTGCCTGGGGGCTGGGGAGATGGGGAATTTGACAGTGATAGCTGAAGGGAACAGAGTTTCTTTTAGAAATGATAAAGATACTCTAAAATCTATGGTGATGGTTGCATAACTCTGTGTACATACTAAAAACCACTGAATTGTGCACTTTAAATGTGTGGATTGTATGGTATGTGAACTATACCTTAATAAAGCTGTCACAACACACACACACACACACACACAGCCTTTCCTCAAGGCGTTTTCTGAAGGACTGGTGTTCTAAGGAACTTGGGAAACAAAGGTCTAAGCTGGGTTTCCCTGGTGGCCTAAAGGACAAGGGTCACCTGTAGATCTTGAACTTTCCCCAAGTGAAGTCCATGTGATTTTCTTTGCTAAGAGAGCCCGAGCCGGAGTAGCTGGCCTGGACAGGTACATGTCCTCCTGAGGGTGCAGAGCCAGAGCAGGGCTGGGTAAGTGTGCAGCATTTTTTTCTCCCCCTTTATGACCTGAGAGAGGACAGGCCCTTTGGTGCTCTCTACCAGCCCCACCTGGGAGCCAGCAGGAGGGCCATGCTTGGTCCACAGACACCCTCTGTACTGGTGGGGGAGCCAGCCCAGAATAGCGCAGGCTAGGACACCAGTTGGGAAAGCAGATGGGAAAGTCTGGGGCTTGGGAAGGAGCAGATGTGGGTTTTGTTCCCAGTTCTGTTGTCTTTCTCTGTGACCTTGGGTGCAGTCTGGGTCTCAGCTCTCCTGCTTTGGAAAAGAAGAAATGAATTTCTGTGCTTCCGTCTCAACAAGCCTTCTGAAGGAATCCAAGACAAAGGCAGTTAAGATTGGAAGGGACTTTGGTGCTCGAATCTGCTCTCTGCTCTCCCCACCAAGCAGAACTGCTTGAAGCCTTCTAGTGCCAGGGAGCTCACTACCTTTCATTTCATTGCTCAATAGCTGTGGGTGTGGCTGTGAGAAGCCCTTCCTTATTTAGAATTGACTTCTGCAAGTTCTCCCATTAGTCTTAGTTATCTCCCGAGTGCATCCCGGAACATGACTAATGCCTGTGCTATCATGCCCAGCAGAGCCCCTATCTGGGCCCTCTGACCTCCTTAGGTGCCAGGAGACCACTCCCCACTCGGAGTGAGCTTGCACATTTCTGCTCTGTTCAGGGCCAATGTTCTGCAACATTCCTGCTCCTTACACGGCCTGGGCCGTGTGTCCCAGACTCCCTGCACTTCTCAGACCTGCTGTTGTATGATGCCTGGGCCGCTCCCTTTCCCAGCTGCAATTTCTACTTGCTGCTCAGACGAACACTCTTCCTGACCTCTGCAAAGAACCCTCAGCGCCCACCTAGCCCCAGAAGTTCCCTCTGCACCCCGCCGGCCTGTGGTTGGCAGTCCTGCAGGCGAGGGATCTGACAAACTGAAGAGCCCACCAGGCCGCAGGAGATAGTAACCCTGCCCATCTGTCTCGGTGTTGCCATGCAGTGGTGAACCCAGGTCCAGCCACCCGCTTCAAACTGCCCACTTCTCCAGGAATGCAGCGCCTTGAGCTGACCGCAGGCGTTCAGCACAGCCTGACCAGGGCCAGGCAGGCAGAGGAGCATTACCTGTCTCTCCCAGAAGCCACCTTCTATTAATGCCCAAATGCGTAAGGTCACACAGGGGGAAAACTCTTGGCCATCTTCCTCAAGTGGGTTGGTGTACCCACGTGGCACCGGCGCCCCCTTCCTTGCATGTCCTGATGGTTGTGAGTCCCATCAGATGACGTCCCCAGGATGGCTCCCTCCGCTGCTGTGCGACCTCACCAAGTCCTCCTCCTCGCTCTGCAGCACCCCCACCCCCACCCCCACCCCTGGCCCTTTTTTCCGTCTCTGTGCAAAGAGAAGTTAGGTTCTGCCACTAAGGAGCTTCTTTGGCTCTTCAGGGCAGCCTGATGCCCAGGCCATCCTCCCCCCATAGGGACATCTCTGCTAGGTGGGGGGTCTCAGCTCACCACGGCCCCTGTGGCTGGCTAAAGAAGCCACATCCGCGCACGGCTGCTGTCACAGTGAGTCACGGTGCCACGGCACGTTTATTAGGACGGCCTGGAGCTCATTTTGCCAACTTTGGAACCACAGGAGCTGGCTAAGTTTAGAACAAGCCTCGCTCGCGAGGACGCTGTGTTCCTTCTCCTTCTGGCAAAACACGAGACTTGAGCTCTTCTTCTCGTCTTCCTTCTCCCAGACACATCCCGGGCGCCGTTCACATCAGACCTGTCTTCTTCCTACACAGACTGCTCTGTAATTAAGGGGGAAACATCCCCAGTCATCTAAAGGTTGGAAAACTTCAGAGCAGGGGAATGTTTTAAGGAATAGAACAAAGGCTCTGAAAAATAGGACGCTCAGATACTTAAAACAAATGTCCTTAACCCAGTTTCTGTGGATGGGCTTTGGGAAAGGCAGGACACCCCTAAATTCTTGTGTGAATGCACTTCTCCTTGGGGAAAAGGTCCATAGCTTTTCTCAGGTTGCCAAAGGGATGTGTGACTCCTGCTAAAAATGACAAATCTGCCCGGCCGGTATGGCTCAGTGGTTGAGCATCGACTCATGCACCAAGAGGTCACCGGTTCGATTCCCGGTCAGGGCACATGCTCAGGTTGTGGGCCAAATCCCCAGTGTGGGGCGTGCAGGAGGCAGTCAATCGATGTTCTCTCATTGATGTTTCTATCTCTCCCTCCCTCTCCCTTCCTCTCTCTCTAAAATCAATAAAGAGAAATAAATTAATTAATTAAAATGACAAACCTCAGGTTTAGGAAAAGAGGATCACCTTGCACCCGCACTGCAGAGTCCTCCCCAGCTTTGGGGTCTCCATGATGAGATGACCTCTCAGGATCTGAACTGGGAATAAAACCTCCAGAAGCTGGATCAGTTTGGGCCTGCTGAAATAGCTCTTCTGGGAGGAGAGTGCTAGGCTCAGGGTAGGTGGAGAGAGAGCGGTCTGGAGCATTTGATCTGGATGGTAGTTATCAGAGGAATTGGGCAGCAGGTCACGTGGTTTGGGGAGAGTGATTCAGGATGAGCAGGGTAGTAAGAGGAATCCGGAGGCCAGCTAGGATGTGCTACAAGCTGAGTCAGACACCGAAAGGGGTCCAGCATTAGCACTCACCTTCATTTAGTCCACTCCCAGTGATGTGCCATTTCTCATTCTGGAGAATTTGCCCATTAGACTTGAAGGCAAATGTTTGTTCTCTGACTGCTTTCAATCAACAGAGCTCCTCCCTACCCCTAATCCCATTGTGTGGAGTTGGGGGAGGGGAGTCTACCGGTTGGTATCCTCTAGTGGTCAGCAAATTAGTCCGACTGCTAACACCTCTGCTTCCCATGTCTAGTCTTGCGTTTAACTGATGGCTGCTGTCTGCATCAAGGGCCATTTGGGATCAAAAGACCCAGATTCAACATTGAGATCTGCCACGTGTAGAGTGTTCTTGGGAAAGTCACTAGACCATTCAAAACTTTATTTTCCTAACTTAAAAATGGGAACAATGATAAATTCGTGCCTGCACACCTTAGGGAAGTGTTTGGAAGTTAAATCAACTCACATTGATTGACCACTGTGTCAGGCCTTTGGTTTATAATCATCATTCTTTTTAAAGGATGCAATCTCCAAAAATCTCCCAGGGATGTTGTGAGAACTCACTAAGACCAAATACTCAACAAATGTCTGGTGAGCAGTGTATTGTAGGTGCTGGGGATACCCCAGTGGACAAAACCAAGTCCCAGCCTTGTAGGGCGGACAGTCTAGTGGAGGAGACCGACAGTGAGCAAATGCATGTGTACAGTGTTGGGTGGTGATGAGGGTAATGAAGAAACATAAAGCAGGGAGGAAAGAGAGAAAGAAGGAGGACTTGTGTGCTGTTCCCTGGTAGGGTGACATTTAAGCAAAGAACTGAGGAAGTGGAGCACAGATGTTTCTCTCTCTTCCCCTCCCTCCCTTCCACTCTTATCTTAAAAATCAATGGAAAAATATCCTCGGGCGAGAATTAACCAAAAAAAGTACTGCAAATAGTTAAAGACTGTGCACAATAGATGCATCTCTCCCTTCATCTGTCTTTCAGAACTTGTGAGTCTTTAAATTTTTTTAATTATATGTTTTTGTATTGAGGTATACTTTACATATACTAAAACACTGCAGATTTTTGTTTATTTTTTTATTTTTATTTTTTCTCCTTTATTGATTTGTAGAGAGAGGAGAAGGGAGAGGGAGAAATAGAAACATCGAAACATCGATGAGAGAGAACATTGATTGACCGCCTCCTACATGCCCCCCACTGGGAATCAGACCCACAACCTGGGTATGTGCCCTGACTGGGAATCGAACTGGCGACCTCTTGGTGCATGGGTCGACGCTCAACCACTGAACCACACCGGCCAGGCAAAACACTACGGATTTTAAAGTACCATCCAATGTAAGCACTATGTAAATCAAGATACAGAGCCTGTCCATCACCCCAGAAAGTTCCCTGGTGTCGCTTTCTAGCCCATACCCCACCCCCAGAAGCAACCATTGTTCTGATGTCTATCACTAGTGATTAACGTTCCCTGTTAATATCATGTAGACAAAGTGGAATCAGTGTGTATTCTTGTGTAAGGCTTCTGACCCTCAGCACAACATGGTTTGGAGATTCATCCATGTTGTCACATGTATCTGTAATTCACGACTTTTTATTGTTGGGTAGTATTTCATCTACCTAACACTTGGAATAGTCAGTCTTTTTACTTTGAGTCATTCTCAAGGATGTAAAGTTGTAACTCATTGTGATGCTCAGGCAAGTAGGGCAGACTGAGATGGTCTCGCGTGGCGGTGGAAATGGAGACCCACAATTAGGACACCCAGAGGTCCACTGACTGCAAATGGTCCAGCGCCGGCCAGCCACCCGGCCACAGAACAGCCCTCCTCAGCCTTTCTCTGACACTGGGATCACAGGTGGCTTTTAGTATTTCAGTACCCTAGACAACCCTGGAATCGACACCTTTGAACATAGAGCTCCCGTCACACCATGTTGGGATTACATTCTTAAAGTAGATGACCAAGAAGTGGGATTACTGAGTCAAAGGCTCTATGCTTTCAAATGATTGGATTATTTTCCAAAAGTTAATAATAGAGTATAACATGAATGCAGCAGACAGCTGTTACAATTTTCATTTTACTTTGTCTGGTCCTGAGTCCTGAGGTCCCAAGGAAACTGTCCTTTTTCAGTCCGTCTGATTCTGGTGGGCTGTCACTCGGGCTGTCACTCCAGCTGCCCAGCCAGGCACCCTGTGTCAGGACTGGACGCACCACCCAAACTGGCCAATCAGAGAACCTCAAGACTTTAGACACAACATTGGTCTACAGTAGATACGTGACGTAAGCCAGGCCTATTGATAGGGGGGTATATAAAACATTTGGGGTGGAAACGACTTTAGATTTATAGAAAAGGTTGCAATACAAAGAAAAGTGTACAGTACAAAGAACTTATCATTTTTCCTGCACCATTTGAGAATAAGTCTATGACACGATGCCCTATCACCGTGTATTTTCTACACAGCAGGACATTCCACTCCATCAGCTCTCAAAATCAGGAAATCAGTGCAGAGACATTACTACCATCAGATCCTCAGAGCCCATTCAAGTTTCACCAGCTGTCCCAGTGGTAGCCTTTAGAGCAAAAGGATCCACTCAGAATCACACGTGGCATTTTCTTGTCACGACCCCCGCTTCAATCAGGACCAGTTCCTTGACCTTTCCTCACCTATCATGACCTTGACCGCTCTGAAGATTATCAGCCAGTTTGTTGTAGAATGTTCCTCCCTTCGGGTTTGTCTGATGTTTCCTTATGATGAGATTCAGATTATGCATTTTTGGCTGGGAGATTGCAAAGGCAGCTGATTCTTATCATGGCAGACTTGCAGGTGATACAACTTTGATGTGTCCCCTTACTGGCCATGTTCACTTTGTCACTTAATGGTGGTGGTGTTGGCCGGGCTTCTTCCCTCTGAAGATACTCTTTTCCACTTAGTAGTTAATAAGTATTTTCAGGGGGTTTACTTTGAGACAATATGCATACCTCAGTTCTCAGCAAGCATTCAATTTATTTGTTTACTCATTTATTCACATCCCCGTGGGCTCATTGCTTCCTACTTCATGCAGGGGGTTATTTTTACTTTCATTATTTATTCTCACGTCCAAATTGTCCCAGGTTCTGCTAGTGGGAGCTCCTCCGGTCAGCCATGTGTCTCTATTACTGGCTTGTCTCTGTTATTCTCTAAGTGCTTGCTTGCTTTCTGATTTAGTCAGATGTTCTAGGTTCACCTCGTCCTTTGCCAGAGTCAGCCTTGGAGTCAGTCATCTCCCCGTGGGGCTCTAGTTCCATTCAGTGCAGAGGGCGTTTAACAGCCATGATCTATGCCCCAGGGGTGCTGGTTGGGTTAGGGGACACTCTCTCTACCTCTCTATGAAATGTCATGAGTTTACAACTTTTGGGGAGTTTTATCATGGACTCTGGAAAGGAGAGTTTGCCTCTTGAATTACAACTTCTAAGTCCATGTAAACCTGAAGCTTCTGGGATCCCGAGTAAGATCCTGTTGGGGAATGAAGTCAGGCAGAGGTGAGTGGATTTGAGAGGGACAGAGACATAGAGTCTCATGACTCTATTAGATCTAGCCATGCTTGAGTTCCTTGGTTACATGAGCCAACAGGCTTTTTTTTTTTTTTTTTTTCCCGTCTAAAGCTAATATGAATCAGGTCCCTTCCAGCTGATCAATATACTAAATAGCTTATGAGGGACTAATCTGTGTCTTTATGTTACGGGACCTAGGCTCCAGCTTTGAAGGTCAAGGCTTGTCCCAAACTATTCCTGGGAAGAGAGGGGTGTTACCGTTCTGGTTCCCTGTCCATCTGTGCTTGCGGCTGTGCCTGCACAATTACCTGGCTCCCTCGAGTCTCTTTCTTTCTGCTCCACACAGACCTCCTCTCTCACTTCGCTGCTAGTGTCCCTGAAATGAGACTGCCCTGTCTCACAGGCCACGAGAAGGACGCAGAGTGGGGAAGGCCATCGGCTCCTCTGTGGGCCTGTCCCAAGCATGGACACTGGTTGCTCTTTCATGTCCCACAGCAAAGACGAGGTTGTGCTGGTCAACCCAGCATTGCTGAGGGCGTGGCGATAGCAGGAGGGAACTGCAAGGCTGGAGAAACAGACTTAAACCTGGAAGCTAACAATGGCTGCTCACGGGGACACCTGGCCAAGGTCCCGTCCCAGCCCCCCTCCTCGCCTCTTTCACTCTCTTGGCTTCAGCCCCTTTCCTCTTCCCTGGAGACCGAGGTACAGCCTCTCACTCTGCTTTGGATCTTTACTCTCTGCCCGCAGATTTGCCCTTTTCTGGGATGACTGGTCGAGGGACCGGCTGTTGCTAATGAGGCAGGAGAGTAAGAAGCTAGGAAAATTCCCGGGCGAGTGGAATGGGACGACAGAGACGAGAACATTAAACGAGGCCAAACAATTTGACCAATTTTCAGCCAGCTAGTGAGTTGCAAGACCTTATCTTCCCTGACCAAGGACACTCGAGAGCAAATGGTTTATACCTCTCCTCCCTAGCCAGAGAACACATCACTTAAATCACCCCGGCGAGGGAGACAGAGGACAGAGACCCAATTAAAGCCATTTGTGCCAAACCCAAAGATGGATGAAGTCAAGGGAACAAATAACAAAAACCCAATTAGAGCCAGACAGACCCAAGATAAAAGTAAAGCAGTGAAGCCGACCAGAGAACCATCCCAAACTCCCCTTTATGCTCATTTTAATTCATCAGCATGTTAAAGAACACATCTGGAAAGCTGATGAATATTCTACTGAAACCCTCCCCTAAGACCTCCCGTGAGATTCCTGCTCACAACCCACAGAAGAGAGATTTAAAAAATGCCAGTGAGCCCTGGCCAGTGTGGCTCAGTGGTTAGAAGGGTTAGAGAGTCGGCCTTTGCATCAAAGGGTCTTGGGTTTGATTCCCGTCAAGGGCACAGACCTGGGTTGCAGGTTCGATCCCTGGCCCAGCATGTGCAGGAGGCAACCTACGGATGTGTCTCTCTCACATCAATGCTTCTTTCTCTCTCTCCCTCTCTTCCTCCCTGCCTCCTTCCCTTTCACTCTGTCTAAAAAAAAAAAAAAATCTATGGAAAAAATATCCTAGGGTAAGGATTAAAAACAAAAATGCCAGTTCAGGTATGAACTTTTTACTTTCTTTCTCCTAAGCTCTTAGGGTCCTCATGAGACTTGTGACCAGAAGAGCAGTGGGCAGTGGCAGCTCGCCCTGGACTTACCCCTGAACCTGTGTCCAAGGTCCCCTTTCCTCTGACTGTGCAGTGAGCTACCAACGGCCCCACCTTGGCGCACTTCTTCCCTGTAGCGTTTCTAGGAGCCGAAGCAGCCCCTCAAGGCTCTCTCCTCCTGCTCCTTCTAGCCTACATCCTTCCTTTGTTTCACTGTCCCCGGCTTTAATAAACATTCTTTCAAAATCACCTGGACTTGTCTTGCGAACTCTTGCCTGTGCGAAGTCAAGAACCCCACACCACAGCCGGCCTGAGGCAGACCCGCTCCCTTTCCGGGAACACTACCAGAGGTCAGCTAGGAGAATCGGGTGTCTGTCACCATACGCCACCAAAGCCTGAGGGCTCCCTTCTAGAACGACACCAGGGAGCTCAGCACTCCCCACCTAGACCTGATGGCTTCCATCACCAACAGGGTATGAAGATGGGTCTCTGCATCTTACCTGTGAATGCTGGCCTGATCCCCAGGGGACTCTCCTGGGCAGAAAACACTCCCCTGAACACACACACACACACACACACACGTGCGCTCACATGCACACACACATACACATGTGCGCTCACGCTTACACATGTACACACATTCTTCTCCTGGAACAAATAATCAGCCCTTTCTGGCTGCCCTGGGCCACTCCAGAATATGATCCGGTCTAACTCTTGCTCGGCCAAGGCCCATAGAAGTGTTTCTCCCCAAACAAGAGGGGCTTGTGCCCCAAAGTCTTTTCCTCCCCCAACACAGAGAACAAGAAAGCTTTGAAGTTAGAATTTATTTTTTTTTCCTAAAAAAAAGTTTCAAAAGTCTCAAGTAAGTATTTTAGACACTGCTCAAGGGTAAAGTTACTGGGCTTCGAGCCCCCTTCTCCTCCTTCCCCACTGGAGTTCACTGCAAGTAGAAAGTTGTCCCCAAGCCCAGCCCCGCGTGAGAGGAGGGCAGGAGAGGGGGAGACACTGCCCTCCTCTCCAGGGCGAGCCCAGGACCTGAGGTTTCAGCGCCCCTGCTTGCTGTTTTCCTATTACACCCACTTTTGTGCCAAGCTTGGTAAGGGCTGTGCGGATTCGAAGACGCCCGTGGAGGCTCAGAACGAAGTAGCCGAGGGTCACACAGGGACAGGCTGGCTTACCCGGAGCCCGGAGCTCCTGTGTTGGACAGCACACAGCGTCTGCATGTCATCTCAGCACTCAGCCCTCCGCGCCTTACTCTCGCCCTGAGGAAAGCTTCCCCTTGTCTACCCTAAGTCTCTCTTGCTGTCCCTCTTGCCATGTCTCCCTTGCCCCAAGCAGACACAAACACTCCTGAGTTCTCCTTGGCCCTGATCTGGTTGCTGCCGGGCCCCTACCCTCGGTGTGGCTTTCTCCTTTGTGGTAGCAATTACACATCCTTCATCACCTCATGTTTTCCGTCTTATTTACATGAGTCATATAATTCAACCCGCTCTTTCTTTCTTTCTTTTTTTTTTTATACTCCCTTAAGAACATCTTTCCATTTTTTTGTTCAGGTAGAGTGGGAGGGACAGAGAGAGAGAAACATCAACATGAAAGGGACACATTGGGTGGCTGCCACCCACACGACCCAACCAGGGCCAGGGACAAACTGCAACCGAGGTACGTGCCCTTAGCGGGAACCGAACCCGGGTCTCTCTGGACCGCAGGCTGATGCTCTAATCGCTGAGCCAAACCGGCCAGGGCACAACCTGCTCTTTCTTCTTTTTTTTTTAATCCTCACCCGAGGACATTTTTCCATTTTTTGCACAGATAGAGCGGGAGGGAGAGAGAGGAAGAGAGAGAGAGAGAGGGAAACATCGACGTGAAAGGGACACATCGAGTGGCTGCCACCCGCACGACCAACCAGGGCCGGGGACAAACTGCAACCGAGGTACATGCCCTTAGCGGGAACCGAACCCGGGTCTCTCCAGACCGCAGGCTGACACTCTAATCGCTGAGCCAAACTGGTCAGGGCACAACCTTCTCTTTCTATTTTCTCTGGTCCAGGTTCCCAGAGGCGGCCGCCGTGGGTGTGTCCTGCAGAGGGGACGGTTTCTGTCGGTCTAGGGCAGCGGCAAGAATGAAAGTTCTCAGGCCTCAAAGGTGTGCCTTGATTCTGTGTAGCCCACTTGCCGACTCTGTGGCTTTGAGGGAGTTTCTGACCCTCTCTGAGAATCAGTTTCTTCGTCTCCCACTCTCTTCTCATTGGACTCTCTCATTGGGATAAATGTTTCGTTCGTTCCAAAAATGCGTCCCTTCCGAGTGAGTGATCTGCACTGAGCACCAAGCATTGCCTCCCTACCTTCAGTTTAGCAACTTACAATGAGGCAGGTAAGGCACCTAGTGTGGTGCCTGACACACAGTAGGTCCTTGGTCAATGTGGGGTCCCTCCTCCCTCTCCACAATGGGAAAGATCTCTTTTTATTGATTTCACTGGAAAATTTCCCATTTCTCTGTAGTTCCCCAGGAACAAGCCGTCTCTGGTGTGGTTTTGCAAATGAGCACATCCCTCTGCAGATGGCAGGCCTGATCAGTGGGGGACAGCATGGGTACAGTCACATGGCCGGGCGGTGGGTGGGTGGCCAGGATGACGCCAAGTGGAGTTGGAAGACTGCGGTTCCCTCACCTCCTGTCCCCTTCCACGTCGCTGGATAGCTCGGGGCCTTGCCGCGCTCCCAGGCCACCTCTCCTGGTATGCTGTCATTCTCTTGCTCACACCTGCTCAACCGAAAGGGAGAATTGATTGATGTGTGTATCTGGGCAATTTAGGCATGGCTGGATCCAAAGTTCAACCCAGATCTTCAGGGCACTCTCCACCTTATATGTCTTTTCTGCTTCCCTTTCTCTGTTGTTTTGAGTCCACAGCTGACCTTCTCCAGGTAGCAAGAAAGATGTCCCGCACAGCCTCGATTCTGTTTTCTACACCCAGTAGCACCGGGGAAAGACTGTCTTCCTCAGCAGATTCAGCGCAGAAATCCAGGGAAGGCCTGTGATTGGCCCTGCCTGGTCACATGCCTGTCGGGGAACTGGTGGCTGTGGAGGAAGGAAGGAGTGTTTCTCACGGGGCATGTGTCCACCTTTGGCAGCGTCCGCTCATCAGAACTTCACAACACGAACTTCCTACTGGAAAGAGGGATGTGTCGCCACAGAGGGGGAGGACTGTGACACCCAACAAAGACAGCAGGATCGCCCGTCGAAGCCCCGACTTCCAAAGCCAGTACCGTATCCACAGCTTCTGACCAGGACAGAACCCGCGCGTCTTGTTCAGAGAAGCTACAGGGAGAAAAGAGCAGGGTTGTTGGGGTCAGGAGGGTCTGGGTGCCAACTGAAGTTCTCGGCCCAGAACTGCGGGTTTGCAACAGTTTCCTCATCTATAAAATGGGGATAACTGTTCCTACCTCACAGATGTTCAGATTTAAACAAGCCAACCACCAAGCCCAGGGCTTGGCAGGGGGACATAATTCATCTACCTCTGATTTCCTTGCTTTTAGGTCCTGGGTGCCAACTCCTGCACCCAGACCAGGTCTATCTGTACTTGAGGGCCCACCTAACCCTCCTGCCTGGACAGTATTTGCAGAGGGGCTCACTCGGAGGAAGCGGCAGAAGGTCTCAGCAGGAGATGGTGCATGTGGTTTTGTGTTTGTTTGTTGTTTCCATCCTGATAACAAACGTGCAGGTTTTACACTGTCGCTGAACAAATAGAACCTTGACATATGGGCCTCTATTTATGTGCTTGATTTAATTACGTATGTTTCATGTTCTATCATCTTTCTATTGCTAAAAATGCTAAGTTTCTCAGGGATCTGCCTGCCTGCCTGCCATTCCCGCCTGCCTCCCTTTCCTTCCTCCTTCCTTTTCTTCCTTCCTTCCATCCTCCCTCCCTCCCTCCCTTCATCCCTCCCTCCTTCCCACCGTCCCTCCCTTCCTTCCTTCCAAAAAAATACTCCCTTAGCTCATTCTGCCAGGCTCTGTGCTAGATGGTGGGGATCTGCTGAGAAAAGATGGACCCAGTCCTACCTCCACAGAGCTTACAGTCTAGTGGGGGATTCCAATGTTAAATGACACAATCATTTAAGTACAACTGTAGGTGATGTTGGTAAGGAGGAACACATAGGCTATGAGAAAGAACTCTGGCCTTGTCTGGGGTATCCAGAAGGGCTTTCTGGAGGAGGTGACATTTGAGCTGAGCTTCTTAGAATAGATGAGATTATCCAGCGAAGACACTTGTGCAGCTGAATGAGGGGGAAGTTCTTGAAGCCAAAACAATGTGATGGAGAGACCAGAGGGTTGTGCCTTCTAGGACAAGACAGACGGCCAGAGAGTCTGGAGAAAACAGGGTACTCAGGAGCATAGCTCAAGGCCAGGGAGAGGACAGGGGCCAGGTCATGCCGTGCCTGAAGGTCACACCAAGGCTTTCGATCTTAATTCTAGAGCAACGGGACTACAGTAGTTCAAGGACAGCACCTTGACCTCTATAGGGACTGCCCGCCTATAGAAGTGAGTGCTCTTTCCAGGACGTGGCCCTTTAAGGTTTCACTTATAGTTTCCAACTTGACGAAGAATGCTCATTGCTCACAGTCATGGAGCAGAGCGTCATGGAGTGGCAAGCTCATGGCACGGAGCCTCTGTGCACGCTGCTCTTACCCACTCCCTGCTGCCACCTCGGGACAACTGACTGGCAGGCTTGAGCTTCTTCCTCCAACCCAGCCCAACGCCCTGCCTGGCCTCACCTGCCCGGCTCCAGCGTGCTGATGTCTGTGCCCACCTCACCCCACGCCAGCTCTGAACAGCTTTATTGGGGCACAAGCCAGTCCCCTCTGACATCTGTTCTGTGTCCCCTGCCTTTACCCCTTAGACTCTAAGGCTTAAAGTTAAGGGATTGGTGTTCTCTAAGCCTCCTCTGGTTCCAGACTCTCCTCCTACCAGAATCATCAGATGTGTGAGTTAGAGAATTCTCAAAGAAGATCTAGTCTAGCTCTTTCTGGGAACCCTCTAAAGACATTCCTGACAAGGGGCCATCCAACCTCTGTTTGAATGCTACACCTTGCAGGGAGCTCACCCCCTACTATACTTGTAGCTTGGGCTTGGATGAAAAGCCCTTAACAAGAAGGGAGGAGAAGCGCCCATCTGCCTGTCTGTCTGGAAGTTATTTTGGCTAGCTCACCTGCATTGCCATCTGAGCTCACTTTTTTTAAGTCTTCCCAAGATACAGCAGGAGGAGAGGCAGCTGCTTAGCTTCCCAGAGCCAAATCCACCTTCTTCACCCTCTGGAAGAAACCGTGTGTTCCCCTGCACCAATACAGGCCATCCCTGCCCCCACCCCGGCCCCGGAAGCCTGAACTTTATGAACTTCCATGAACTCCTGCATCCCAGGAAATGGGAAACAGAGACAGGTGTGACCCCGCAGTTACTGGGGTGCTGTAGCAGGGCAGCTAGTGGCCTGGGGTCCTGGCTCATCTGCTGCCTGCTTGTGGTGAGTTAGAGAAATATCAGCATCGCCCGGCCGATGTGGCTCAGTGGCTGAGCGTCGACCCATGCACCAAGAGGTCACCAGTTCGATTCCCAGTCAGGGCACGTGGCCAGGTTGTGGGCCTGATCCCTAGTGAGGGGCATGCAGGAGGCGGCTGATCGATGTCCTCTGTCATCGATGTTTCTATCTCTCTCTCTCCTCCTTCCTCTCCCTCTCTCTCTAACATCAATAAAGGGAAAAAAAGAACAAAAGAAATACCAGCCTCTGCTGTGGAATCAGCCTTCAGTGCCTCTGGTCTGCACTTTATGAGGCCGGTGGGGGGCTCTGGAGTCCGCTGCACCTTCCAGGGGTGTCTGCTCTGCCAATAAGGAATAATTTGGGAACACCCAGGGAACATTTACCCTCTCGGAGGCCTGGGAACTGATTTCTTCTAAGGCGATCTGCTGAGGAAAACAGCCGGTGTGGAAGGTCCGGGTCCTTCAGTGACCTGTTTGCCAGCAGACAGCTCACCGCACACCAGGCCTGTACCTGGCACCTGGCACCTGGCACCTGGCATCCGAGACCAGTGAAGCAAGCTGGGTCCCTGCCCTCCAGGTGCTCACAGTGTAGGGGGTAGCTTAGGTGGGAGATGACAAAACAGATGCTCACAGTGTCCTGTGATAAGCGCTGTGAGGCGTGTAAGGGTCTGAGAGGCCGGAGGGGGAGCCCAGCTCTGCCTGGGGAAGCGGAGAAGGCTCCCAGGAAGAGGTGTCCCTGGAGCTGAGTTCTGGAGGATCAGTAGGAGTTAACCAGGCTGAGTCAGGAGGAGGGAAGAGACACGGGCAGAGAACTGGGGTGAGCCAGAGAGGGCCTGGTACACTGGGGAAACTGTACGGAGTTATGGGAAACTCTAGGGAATAAAAGTAGCTCTGGGGCCTCGCTCTTTGCTCAGCAGGCCACGGAGAGCGAGTCTTCCGATGGAGGCACCGGGCTCCTTTTCTGAGCTTTTCTCGCGGGCCCCTTCAGCCCCGGGGCCGCTGATCTGCCCTTCCCAAGTCTAGGCTGGAGGAATTCAGCCATGAGGCACAATTCAGCACCCAGGACGGAGTGGAGAGAGGAGGGAAGGGAGAGGGAAGACTTACAGCTATTAATGTCTGAGCTGCTCTTGGAGCAGGCTCCTTACTCACAGCCCGGGAATCTCAAGGAAAGCGATAAATGATTTTTGAAGGCGCATTCTTTAAGAAGCAAGCTACAGATGCGCACAGCAAAGAATCTGGATGATGTCAATAACGAACAATGTTGTCTGGGGAGGAGGGGTTGTGGGTGTCCTTCCTTTTCTTTTTAGAGTTTGTACTTTATGGATTCTAAGTGGCAGTTACTGCTTTTGTGATCAGAAACAGTTAGGGCATAGGAAAACCTCTGCAGGAAAAAGCAGAAAATCAAACCACATCTACAGTAAAATCCTAGTTTTTAAATAAAATACGCAGAGAAAAAAGATGGAAAAGAAATACTTGAAGGTGTTAGTAGCCGTTGTCTCTGAGCACTGGGGTCATTAGGAGACTTGCCTTTCTAACTTATGTATGATCACATCCAGATTCGAATGTGTCAGGTGAAACTGTTCATCGAACAGACGCCTAATGGGTCCTCTCGTTTCCTTCCCTGCACGTTACAGTGGCTTCCCACGGCACCACGCTAGCGATAGCCCGTTGCCCCTGGAGAAAGCCCCCGTTCCCTGTGCCCAGTTAGCTCTTGCTCACCCATCAGTACTCAGAGACCACCCCCACTTCCTTAGGGAAGACTTCCGGAGTGGATCCCGTGGAGTGCCACCCAGTCCCCTTTGGGAACAGCTGGGAGAGCTGGTGGCCGGCACCCACAGAGGAGTCTCTCTGGGAAATGCCCGGGCAGAAAGGAACTGCCTGTGGGAGCCTGCATCCATTGCTCAGTGCTATGGAGGAGAAGCAGGACGGGTGATGGAGGCCCAACCCCCAGCCTTCATTCAGAGCAACTCTCAAGGGTCATCGCCACTCGAGAGCCCCTGGGGGCTTGGCTGAACTTGTGCAGCTCTTCGAGACAGGGTTTTCTCTCCTCCAGGCCTGCCACTTTCCCTCTCCGACAGTGCTGATCCTGAGAGCACTTCCCAAGAAACGTCTCTAACCAGGGACACCTTCCTTGAGCCCCCAGGCTAGCGCAGGTTCCTTGATGATGTGCTCTCCCTGAGCACGCGGCTCCTTTGTAAGTTTTACATCCATTTGCTTTATCTGGCTGGTGGCTGTCTCCTCCAAAGAGTTACAGCTTTCATTCCATCACACTGGCACATGGTTCAGAAATACTTGTTGAGTGAACTACTTCATTAACCATCCAATTGAAACCCTGAGGGGGCCATCAACTGTGCCTAGGGCTGCAGAATACTTTATTTATTTATTCATTCAATAAATATTTACTAGGAGAAACTGGATCCTCATCTCTCAACACCAAAAGCATTCCAGATGGTCCAAAGATGTTTATGTGGAAGAAAATACAACTAATAAAGTTCTAGAAAAAAGGACAAGTTTTAGAAAGTAATTTTGGAATATTGAGGGCCTTTATAAGCCTGATACACAAAATTTGGAAAAAGTTACTACACATCATCATATAAAATTCTAAACCTTTATAAGACAAAAATAAAGATAAAAACAAGTCAATAGAGAATATTTGTAGCACCTAGATAAGACAGGGGGCTAATTCTTCTAATATACCAAGAACATTTACAAGTCAAAAGGAAAGAAAGCGCATAGAAAAATGGACAACAAATATAATGAAAGATGAGAAACCTTATTTATATTCTAAGAAATGCAAATGAAAACCATAATGCAATATCATCTTTCTATCAGAATTGACCAAGTTAGAATGATTGAAAATACCCAGTCTTGGCAAGAGTGTGAGTAAACAGGACTGTTACTCACATTTATCGGCAAAAATTGTCATGAGCTCCTTGGAAGTCAGTTTGGCAATATCTAGTAAGTGAAAAGCATTCATCTCTTCTGACCTCACAATCCTACTTCTAGAAATATACCAACTGACGATGGCCAGGACATCAGGGTCCTATGTGACCGGATAGGGAACATACTTGGCTTTCACTACTTGGTTCTAAATTGGAAGGAGAGGCAAAAATTAAAATTGCTGGCAGTTATTGATCGAGTCCTGGCTGTTTGGGGCCCCTTACTGCCTGGCTGTGGTTTGGCTTCCTGGGCTGGTTGCTGCAGGTTGGGGTCCGAGTTCTGTTTTGATATGTGGCCGGGCCATCGTCTGTTAGCATGTTCAGTCCCCACGCGACCATCTCCTCCCTCACAGTACACTCTGGGGCCTTTCAACTGTCCTCCCTGCTTCTGTTCTTGTTCTCAGGGCTCTGTTTTACCTTTTCTTCTTTTCTTCTCTTACTGTTTACCTTTTATTTTTTTATCATTAAAAAATTTTTTTTTTTCTTTATTGATTTTAGAGAGTGAGGAAGGGAGAGGGAGAGAGAGATAGAAACATTGATGAGAAAGAAGGTCGATTGGCCGCCTCCTGCATGCCCCCCACTGGGGATCAGGCCTACAACCTGGGCATGTGCCCTGACCGGGAATAGAACCGGCGACCTCTTGGTGCATGGGTCAATGCAAAACCACTGAGCCACAATGGCTGGGTTCTGCTTTACCTTTTAAACCATGCTGGCCTCTGTGGTGGCCACGCCTAGGAGAGCTCCTCTAACCTCTCTGAGCCCTCCCCGAGGCTGCCACGGCACACAGTGAAAGCCAGTCTCCTACATGTCCTATCTTCTGGCTCCTGAGACGTCTCCGCAAGCCCAGTGGGTTCCTGTCTCAAGGGCTACGTGTGGGCTGTTCCCTCGCTCCCCGACCCGGATCTCCACGTGGTGGCCCTGCATCCTCCTGAATCTACCAAATCAGTGTGAGTTCTGTTCTCCAAAGCACTTCTCACTATCCGAGTGCTTTAGTGTTCTCTTGTTTGCTGCTGGTCTTCCCCCACCGAAATGACATCTCCATGTGGGCAGGGACCACACCTGTCCCTTCTTACACTGAGGCCCCAGCCCAGGGACCACATCTGTCCCTTCTTACACTGAGGCCCCAGCCCTTGTGTGGAGACTGGGACTTGCTGAATCGCGTATGTGTGTTTTTAAGGCGGGCTAACAGGATTTGCTGATGCACTGAATGCTGGGGAAAAAGAGGAGAATCAAGGATGACTTGAATGTTTCCGGCTGAGCGATTGGCGGGATGCTGCTGCCATGGTTGGTGTGAGATGGGAAGACTGTGGGAGCAGGGAGCTGAGTGTGGGGGATCGGGAGCTCTGTTTCAGACACACTGGGCTGGTCTGTCAGACTCCACATGAGATGTGCAGAGGCGGGCGGATCCTGGAGCTCGTGGTGAGGTCAACTTATAGATGAGCTGGCTGGGCGAGCCCCAAGAGGAGGGGCCAACCCTGCCCAGGCCTCTGCAGTTAGACATCGGACAATGAGGGAGACCAAGCAGGGAAACCGAGAAGGAATAGCCAGAGAGGTGCAGTTAATCTTCCTAAGCTTCAGTTTCCTTGCAGCAACAGGGTTTAGTGATTAACAGCACTTCCCTCACAGGGTGGGTGCGAGGATCCTGGGCCATGTGTTAAAAGTGCTCAGAACATTGTTTTGCACGTAGTAAGTGCTCAGCATATGTTGGCTAAAGATAAGCACTTTATCTCTGACCCTTCTGAAGAATTGCTAAACCTGGCCTCTGGTCTCAGCTGAGAGGGGAGAGCTCCTGGGGGCGGGGTGGGGAGGAGGTTGGAGTCTGTCTTGCCAGGTTATCCAGGCTGGCACCTAGGGCTGGTCGAGGCACACTGCCCCCCGGGGCGGGCCTGGCTGAAGACAGTGCTTAAAGAGGGCGGTTTCGAGTTCTTGCAATTGTGCTATTGAACAGACATGTGACCTCACTTTATACTCCTGAGCCTTCCAGCCTTCTTAGATGCCCAGGACCCAGGAATAGATGTAGGTTGGCTGCATTTCATTCTCCACGAAGTGGGCGTAATAGTTGCAAATATGTGAATAATTGCAGGAACTAATATCTTCAGCAGCCCCCTCCCCACCTAAGCACTTAGCCACCCGCCTACCACACTCTAGTCCCATCTAAGGGAATAAGAATGTCAGTAGAAGACGACAATAAACACTTCTCAAATGGTGGCATTTCAGGGACCATATCAGGGTGGGTGCTATGTTTATGGGTGGGTGGAGGTGGTCGAAGGGAGACTTTCCAAGTCTCTGTCTTCTGCCTGGGATGAGATTAGTGCTGTCTCTTTCCCGTGCAACAAATCTTTCCAGGATACGAAATCCAGTTTGAGAAAGATCTTTATATTCACGAAGTTGGCTCATGTACTTCAGCAACGGAGCACAAGCCTGTGGGAGCACTGTGCTGTGAGCGAAGGTCCCTCGGATTGCTTACAGTCGGGTGCAGGAGGCACATGAGGAAAGAAAGCCTTTTTTTTTTTTTATCCTCACCCGAGGATATTTTTCCATTTTTTTGTTCAGATAGAGTGGGAGGGAGAGAGAGGAAGAGAGAGAGAAACATCGACGTGAAGGGACACATCGAGTGGCTGCCACCCGCACGACCAACCAGGGCCGGGGACAAACTGCAACAGAGGTACGTGCCCTTAGTGGGAACCGAACCCGGGTCTCTCCGGACCGCAGGCCGACGCTCTAACCGCTGAGCCAAACTGGCCAGGGCTGTTTAGTGGTTTTTATTTTTATTTTGGCTCATAGTTGTGGGAGTGGGCACCATACATTTTTTCATGCTTTGACCTTGGAAAGATTGTTACATTATCTTCAATAGTCACTTCCCCTCCCTTTCCGAACAAGCTGCCAGAAACAACTCCCAGCCCCTCTGCACAACTCTCCCGTCCACACCCATCACTCCCTTTTGCAGGCTGTGACCATTGGGAAGTTTCTGGAACCGGAAAATCATATCATAACTGTGGAAATGATAGGCACTGTTACAGTATCATACATGTGCCAGGCTCGGAGGCTGCGGGCTTTGTGTGCATTGTTCACTTAATCCCCGCGACAGCCCTCTTCGGGCAGTTACACCCGAGAGTCTCGAGGCTCAGCGAGATGAAGTGGCTGGGTTAAGATCACACTGTAAATCCATTTTAGCAATGGAATTGAAACCCAGGTCTGCCTCGGTCCACAGAGCTGGTCCTTGACCATTCCTCAGGCTGCCTTATGGAGGCTAGAACCAGAGGGGCCAAAGACATAAACTCATTCCGACTCTTCACTTTTAAAATTATATGATGATAACATGGGACGTCATCTACTTCCAAATCCATCTTGCCAGATTCTCTGCTTAGATTACTTTCACATATATGTGTGATATATGTGAGTATAAATTTAATAGGGAAGGAAATATCTTTCAAAAGACCCAGTAGAATAGTTAAATACCTGTCAGAAAATTCCGCCTTGCAAAAGCAAAACAGTGTTCTTCAATTATTGGCTCTATCTTGCTATGTGACACTTGCAAAGTTCCTGACTGTTCATTCATTCAACAACTATTTATTTAGCAACTACTCTGTACCGTGCACTATTCTAAATACTAGGGATACAGGAATGGCAGAACTACTGGAAGACAAGTCCCTGGATAAACAAGGAAACAAATCCATAAACCAATCAGATTGACAAATAGTGATAAGGAGGATAAAGGAAGCCAACAGGGCAGCGTGATACAATGGCGAAGGGCAGGGAGTGGCCGCTCTGAAGAGTTTGGCCAAGGACCGCCCTCCCTCGGGATGCTGCCTTTGAGCTGAGAGCTGAAGGATGAGAAGGCACCATGCATCTGGTCAGCCAGAGGCTGGCACAGAGGTGACAGTCCTCATAAGGAAGAGGAAGAGGCCGTGAACTGAACTTCACAGCAAGCCATCTAGAGGATGAGGGGCCAGCAAGAAAGACCAAGAACTAGCAGCCAGAAGGGAGGAGGAAAAGCAGAGGTACTAGGGGCAGGGAAACCAAGGGAGTTGTTTCAAGAAGGAGGATGTGGTCCTGGCCAGTTTGGCTCAGCGGTTAGAGCATTGCCCTCTGCCCAGAGGGTCATGGGTTCGATTCCCAGCCCTGATCGGGGTCGTGTGGGAGGCAACTAATGGATGTGTCTCTCTCACATCGATGTTTCTCTCTCCCCCTCTCTCCCTCTCTTTCACTCTATCTAAAAATTAATGGAAAAATATCCTCGGGTGGGTGAGGATTAACAACAACCAAAAAACAGAAGAAGGAGGACGTGGCAGCTGTGCTTGGAGACTGTCTCTCAGATTCGGGAACGTGGAGGTCACTGTCGAACTTGAAAAGAAGAACATCAGTGGAAAGGTTGTCCCGCTGTGTCATGGCGACAAAAGCTAGACGAGGAGGTTGGAGAAAGCAGGCGAGGTGGAGGTTGAGTGCAGACAGCTCTTCGGAGGCGTTTTGCGAGGAAGGTTAGCAGAGAAACAGGGCAGAGGCCGAGAGGGCATTCGGGTCAAGAGAAGGTGACCATTCTCCATCCAAGATCCGTTCTCCGCTCACTCGTGTTCCGCTCTGGGCCAGCCTTTCGCACTGCATCACCTGGACGCTCCTGCCAGGATGCTTCCGGCCAGGTTCGGCCAAGGGGAGGCGGAGGCAGGAGAGCCAGGGTCCGCAAGAAAGAGAGGTCGGGCGCTCTTCCCCCTCCCTCGCCGCTGCCTCCGAGCCTTGTCTCTAGCAGGAGCTATGTCCCCTAGGCCTGCAAGTCCTTCTGGGCCGTCCCTCCTCCATGGCTCTCAGAACACTATTTCTTCCCTTGCCCCTTTCGGCACTAGGAGTTACCACTCCTACCCAGCACAGCTTGTCTCTGGGTGCTCAGCATCCTTGTGTGTTTCCTTAACTTGTAAGCGGCCCCTCTTTTGAGGTCAGTTAAACCATCTGAGTGCATTATCTTTCCTGCCAGGGCCTTAACTGATACAGAAATGTGTTTTCCCTCCCTCCCTTCCTTCCTCCCGCCGCCCTCCCTCCTTCTTTCTTTCATGAAAGGATATACTAGAACATGTTTGTATGCAAATGAGAGTAACGGAGCAAAAAGGAGAAAATGATGATGCAGAGAAAAGCAGGATACTTGCTGAGTGGAGGCTTGAGGCTGCGGGAGGGGAGAGAGTCCCAGCAGAAGGTGGTTGGCCTTAGGCCGGGACAGAAGACCTCTATTTTGGTTACAGGGGAGGCAGGAAGCATGGGCCCAGGGCAGGGGGGCTAGTAGATTTGGTCTGATGGCTCCTAGTTTCTCAATGGAGGACGAGTGCGGGGTAGTTTGGAGAGAGAGAAGAAAGTATGGACTAGCCATCTCTGAGAACAGGAAAATGAACTTTCTAGGAAAGGCTGGTAGGCTTGCCAGCATGGGGAGTGCCAATTTGAGGTTTGTGGTCATGAATTTAAAGAACAACCCATCAGCAGGGCTGTGTGCTTTTCTCCAGCATCGTTCAGCTGCCCTGGCACAGGCCTGGAGAGGCCGAAGGGATGGGTTTTTCGAGGGCCGGGACTTAACCAGGTTCATATGGTGGGGGAAGGGGCCAGTTTATTGAGGGGGTTGGCTATGGAGTAAGAGTCATGAAGCAGTGTGGAATCTACGTGGGGTGAGCAGGAGGGAAGGACATGAGCCTGTGACCAGGGAAAAGGTGATAATGACAGTGGATGGGAGGGTTTGATGAAGCACAGGGCGAAGAGGAAGCTGGAGCCCACAGCGAAAGAGTTGACGTGATTGGAAGACGGGTTCAAGAAACCACAGAGTGGGGGAGCACAGGGTGTGCCCTGATAGCTCCAGAAGGGCAGAGACCTGAAAGTAGAGGAGGACAAATGGTTGGGGAGAGGTACGTGGGAGCAGAGAGAGTACACATCACCTCCAGGTCTTCCCTGGACTGATTTCTCCATGCATCTCCCAGAGATGTTCTCTCCTGCCCGGTGGCCTGAAAAAGCCCATGACAATGTGGGTGTCTTCAGGTTTAGAGCCAAGAAGGCCATTTTTCCATGTGGCTCCTTCCTGGGACCTGACCCAGAGCTAGTTCTGACCACCCTGCAAAGGTGGTGGTGATGTTTCTCCTAGAATGAGCAGCTAAGCCCCCCAGGGGTCAGTATCCCTCAAGGGAGACCCTGGTTTCTTCACCTGTAAAATGCAATCTGTCATTTGTTTATCAAAACATGTGTTAAACTCTGCTGTGTTCCAGGCCTATGTTACTTCCTTTTCCCGACTCAGCCACCCTGGAGAGAGAGACTATTATACTCCTTTTTACAGAGAAGTGAAAACTTTCCCCAGAGCATATAAAGTCTATGGGAGACCAAGAAGCTCACTATCCAGTTAGGGAAACAGGCGGGAAGAAAACCAAAAATATGAGATGTGTACAGAGTTCTCTGGGCCTATGGAAGTTAGAGAGACTGATTCCAGATGTGGGGGCAGGTGAACCAGACCTTCGGGATGGTAGAAATGTGGGGACACGGAGGGCAGAAGCCACATGCTACTCCGTGGCGCAGCCCAAGATTGTTGAGTAAGGGCAGTGGGGATCAACAGCGAGGCAGGGTTGCTCATCTTGTCTATAGTCCTGGGGTTCATGGCTACCCATAAGGGGGCCCACAAACCCCCTGAAGTTGTATCACAAGTGTGAGTGTGTGTGTATTATTCTTTTCTGGAGAGACACTTTTCTTTTCTTTTTTTTTTTAATCCTCATCCGAGGACTTTTTTTTGCATTTATCTTCAGATAGAACAAGACAGAGCGGGAGGAAGAGAGGGAGGAAGAGAGAGAGAGAAACATCGATGTGAGAAAGACACATCAACAGGTTGCCACCCACACTACACCAACCATGGCCGGGGACAAACTGCAACCGAGGTACATGCCCTTGGTGGAAACCGAACCCAGGACTCTGGTCCGCAGGCCGATGCTCTAACCGCTGAGCCAAACTGGCCAGGGCTGGAGAGACACTTTTCATTTTCATCAGGTTTTTAAACTGGCACACGGACTCAAAAAAGCCTTGAGTAGCAAAGGAACTTGGAGAGGTCAGCAGGGCCGGGGAATGAAGGACCTGGTGGGCCTTGTTCAGGAATTCATATTTCACTCTGAGGTCAACGGGGAACCCAAGGGTTTTTCTAGCGACTGAGCCACATGAGAAGGGTCTTAGGAAGACAACACAGGTTAGTTACTGTGAGCTCAAATCACAGTCTTTTGATGGACCATTTACCGCTCCATTCTCCGCCTAGCACAGAGCTGAGCACATATTAGGGGCTCAGTAAATATTTGCTGAAAGAATGAGCACAGATGTGTGTAATGATAAAGGAGCACATGTCTCTAGGGTGACTCCATGCATTTCCTGGACAACTGAACTGAAAGTGAAATCCCAGGAACCAAGCAGAGCTCCCCCTGCAGTGCTCTAGGTTCTAAGAGAAACCTGCTGAGCCCTGAGATGATGGGGGCGTGAGAGGGTGGGGATGGGAATGGGGGGAGAGTGACCTGTGCAGGTGAGGCCACACCTGACTGCAGGGCTGGGCTTCTCCCACGGTGCCCTGCTTTGTCTTTGGAGGAGGTGAGGCAATATGGCAAGAATGGCTAAAAATCATTTTCTCCTTCCACTTTCAACCCATTGGCTTGTCCTATTGACTCTGTCTTGAAATACGCCCATTCTTTCTCCATCACCTTCTCTCCTACCCAGCTCCTGTTCCTGCTCCTGCAGCAATCTTAAAAGTCAGGCCCCTGTTTCTGCCCTACCTTTCTACCATCCACTCTCCATCCACATGGTGGCCACAGGGATCTTTTATTTTTCTATTTATTTTATTTAAAAAAATTTTTTCCCCTTTATTGAGTTTAGAGAGAGAGGAAGGGAGAGGGAGAGAGAGAGAGAGAAACATCAATGAGAGAGAACATCGACTGGCTGCCTCCTGCATGCCCCCCACTGGGGATCGGGCCCACAACCTGGGCATGTGTCCTGCCCGGGAATCGAACCGGCGACCTCTTGGTGCATGGGTTGACGCTCAACCACTGAGCCACACCGGCCGGACCACAGGGATCTTTTAAAAACACTTCCCTGACAAGAAGTGTAGCTGTCTTTCCATGTACTTAGCGAGCTATGTTTCTAAAACTGGACATACATTCAAGTCGTAAGGGGATCTCACTAAAATCCAGGTTGTGATCTGGGATGGGGCTTGAGACACTGCATTTCTAACAAGCTTCCAGGCAATGCAGTGATCTTGGACCACATTAGGAGTAACAAAGACTTAGAGAAAAATCCGAACTTCCTGCCCATGTCCTACTTTATCTGGCCCTTGCCCAGCAATCCCACATCATCTCCGACCCCTGTTCTCTCTCATCACACTGTAGCCACACTGGCCTTCATTCTGTTCCTGGAGTGTGCCAAGTTGTCCCTGCCTCAGGGCCTTTGCACGTGGTGTTCCCACTGCCTAGAATGTCCCTTTCTGAGAGCTCCACATGGCTTGCTCCTTTTCTTTATTTAGATCTTAGTTCGATAATCAGAGAGTACTTCTCTGACCACTTCATCTGATGAAGCACCTTATCTCCCAGGAACTTGCTATCACTATTTGCTTTCCCCTCTTCATAGCACTTATTCTCTGAATTTATTTTAGTACTGTATTTGTTGACTTGTTAACTTTCTGTCTCCACTCTCAGGGTTGTTCCACGTGAATAAGAACTTGGTTTCCTTCACTCTGGACTTTTCCCAGAGCCTGACACGTGGTAGGTACCCATTTCATATTTGGGAAGCATGAAACATGAGCACGAACATGCTTGCATGGCTACGGTGGTGTTGAGATACATGCAGGGGAGTCCATCTTAGGAAAACTTAGCACGATGATACAGGAGGAGTCTGAGGCAGAGGGGAGGGAGGAGGGAAGGAGCCAACTTTCTGTACTGAAAGTGCCACAGAAAGTCTCAAGAACCTGGAGCTGAAGTTGAATCTAAGAATCAACACATAATAGATGAATTCATCTAACTAAAAGATACTCTGGAAGGTGGGGAAGGAAAGGAACTAACACCAGTTAAATGAGGTAAGTAAGGTATTTGGAACAGTGCCTGGCACATAGTAGGTGTTTATCAAATAAATAAAAAGAAATATGGCAGACTCTAACTTTGTGACCATCACGTTGCATAAACATTCCCATTCGTCCTCAAACATACAATCTCCATCTTGCAAATGAAGAAAGGGGCTGAGACTGGAAGACTTGCCCAAAGTCAGACAGTAATTCAGGGACAGAGCGGAGAACCCCACTCCCTCAAACAGCTCTATTGAAAGTTGCCAACACTGCACTTCCTGTCCCCCTTCCCCATTGTATGCTCTGCCATAGCACCTGTTACCAGCTAATATCCTGTGCATTCTACTTATTTGTTTATTGTCTGTCTTCTCTCCCTAGAATATAAATTCCTGGTTTTGTTCACTACTGTTTCTCAGAGCCCAGGACACAGAGGCCTGCCACATAAGTAGACACTTAATGGATACTTATGGAATGTTAAAAGGATGAACGAAGGGGTTATTTAAAAATCTTTGCTTTCTGCATCTCTAGGGGGCGGTTCTGTGACGGGACACCCAACAGCAGTCGAGAGGGCTGGAGTGCGTGCGAGATGAACTGGGAAGGAAAGCTGTGGCTTACTGAATGCTTGCAACAAATCAGAAGTAAGACTGTCCGCAGAAAAGGCGCTGGCTTCACGGATCCTGGCAGGAGGGCAGCCAGGGAGCTGGGGTTTGTCCAGCCTGCAGCCCTGGCACCATTCCCGTGGTGGCATGGTTGGTGTGGAGTCCACAGGCGGGCAGTTGTCCTCTGAGGATATGGCTTCCCACAGGGTTGTTCCACGTGAATAAGAAGGTGACCCTGGGGGAAAATGTGTTAACCAGGCCCCTGTGGCAATTACAAGCTTGATGCAAACGCATAAATAGGCACTTAATCAGGAAATCTCTTGTGAATTGAGTTAGAGTGAGTCAGTCGCTCAAGCCTTGGCAGCTCTGATACTCAAGAAATGAAGGTTCTAAACCAGCCAGGTTGCACTGCGGACCTGTCTACCTGACCTTCCTCTGTGCCAAGGCTTCTTAAAGTTTGGCACCCAGAGCTGCAGCATCAGCATCACCTGAGAACTTGTCGGAACACAAATTCTCCAGCCTTGTCCTCAATTTACTGAATGGGAAACTCTGTGGGTGGGGTCTGTCACTCTGTATTAAGGAGCCCTCTGGAAGATTTTGGTCCACTGTCAAGTCTGAGAACCACTGTCAAGCAGTTTCTCTTTCAGGGCAGTTATTACTCTGCTGCAGGGAACAGTCAGGGTTGGGGGCTTCATAGATACAGTACAGAGAGTCCTATGACAAATTAAGTGACGATGGATCAGGGATTCTTAGTGGGAAGGGTCAGGAGTTGGGGAGGAACTGGGAAGGAAGACCCCTGTGTTTCAGAAAATCTCCAGAGGAGCAGTTCGTTTGCAAAGCACATTTTAAAGTTATCATGGTGTTGTTTTTTCAGACCTAATATTTAATTTATTTCAAAATTTCAAATGACATTAAAGGAAGGTATAATATAAACCTGCAGCCCGTACTGACTATATATATAATACAGTTTAGGTGGAAATATAATGCTAGGACCTTACCCCTCCTGTCCAATCCTCAGTCTAAAATAAAAATAAAAAAAGGGCGAAGAGAAGGGAACATATTAAGCTGGCCGAGAAACAAACTCATTACATGGGTTGCACAACTTCATGGGGCTCCTACTGTGTGCCATGCATGGCATTTGGCTCTCTGACGACATACCAAGATAATTTAGCCAGCCACTTGGGCAGCCAAGGACCTTACAAGAGAAAATGCGGAGGAGAGATATTTCCTCTGGTTGGCAGATGTTGGAAGTATGGACGTGTGGGACCTTTGATCAGTGTCTTGACTTTTCAGTTTAGCCAGGTAAAGAGAGCACATGTGAACTGGTAGGAGGTGGGAGAGGTGGGTGTGCGGATTGAAGGGTTTTGAACGCTGGAGGCACAAAAGGTACCAGCCCAGGAGCAGTAAGCCCATGCCCACCGCTCGGGTCTGGGGCCATGTTTAGGAGATCTAAGGTTGGGTAGTAACAATTGCTAAATTGATCCAGTGACTACATGTGGCAGCAATCAATCTAGGTGCTGTACATACATGAACTCCTTGTTCATGTGAACCCTATGAGATAGGTCCTGTTATCACCCCAGCTTTACTGATGGGAGGTGAGCTAACTTTGCCCAAAGTCACACTGTTAGGCTGTACTAGAGACTGAATTTGAAACCAGGCATTGGCTCTAGAGCCCTCCCAAGCGGAGGACAAATCAATGTGCCCCCAGGCGTCTGGGCTGTCCGGCTGGTTTGGGGGGGCAGAGGGATGGGACATTTATTTTGGTGGGTGAAAAGGATCCAGAAGCAAGCCCGCCCATCTTTCTCCACGCCTTATTTCCTTTGGAATAAGACAATCTGGAGTCCAGTGCTTTTCGAACCTGCTATAGGACGAGCACTTTAGGCCCCTTCCCACTAGATGGCGGCCCCTAAAACCCACATAGAAATTCTGGAACCTCCACCGTCTCCAGCTTCCAGGGTTTGGATAAGGCTGAGGAATGGCAGGATGCAAAACCTCCTTGGTTGCAAGGGGCACCCGGCCCCTGCCCCGCCCCATCCGGGGGTCGCGGGAAGCCCCTAGACTGGAGGCGGGCTTGGGGGGGGGGACAGGGATGGGCGGGGAGACGAGGCTCCCGGGGGAGGAGTCGGCGCGGAGCAGCCATTCCCGGGACACAGAGGCTGTCGCTCCCGCGTCGCCTGCGTTCACAGCGGAGGGGAAGGCCAGCACCGCCGGGCGCTAAGCGTAGGGCGCAGGCGGGGGCTCCGGAGGCGCGGGCCGGGAGGCAGGTGCGCGGCACGGACTACAAGTCCCAGCATGCCCAGCTGCCCTGACCCGGCCCCTGCTGCCACTTAAAGGCTCCGGGAGCCGCAGCCGTCGGGTCGCCGCGGCTTTCGCTTTGCTGCCGCGGCTGGGCGGGCGGCAGCAGCGGGCTCAGTCGCCGGCTCGTCTCGCGTCCCGGTTCCGGCTGCACCGAGGGGCGCTCCTCGTGCAGCCCTCCCGGCTCGGGGATTCCCGCCCGAGCCCGCGCCCCCGGGCTCCCCGCCTCGGCCACCCCGCGGCCCGATGCCGAGGTATGGATAGAGCGGCGCAGCGCGCGGCGGCGATGGGGGAGAAGAAGGAGGGCGGCGGCGGGGGGGACGCGGCGGCCAGCCGGGCGCTGCAGCAGTGCGGGCAGCTCCAGAAGCTCATCGACATCTCCATCGGCAGCCTGCGCGGGCTGCGCACCAAGTGCGCGGTGTCCAACGACCTCACCCAGCAGGAGATCCGGACCCTGGAGGTAAGGCGGCCGGGCGCAGGAGGGTCGGGGACCCGGGCTGGGCCGGAGGGGGCACAGGGGTCGGCGGCCCGGAGAGCGGCCCCTCGTACCCCTCTCCGTGCTTCTGTTCATGCCTTTCCTACTTGCATCCTGGAGCCCGGGTCGCCCCGTTTTAAGCTTCCCCTCCCTTCTCCATTCAGTGATGCGGCAGGTTGAGGACCCGGGACTAGCCCCTCACCTTGGGCGGGCGTTGGGGGGAGGGGCGGAGTGGGAACTGGGACAGAGGCTCCGGGAGCCGGTGGGCCGGGTGGGCTGCGCGCGGACCTCCCCTGCCTCCTCACCTCCGACCCCCACCCCGTTTCCAGCCTGTCGGCCGCAGGACTCCCTCCCACTGAGTCACACGCTGGACTTTTCCCTGTGTGACGGAGCCGAGCAGCCGTGGGCCGGGACGGGGCTGGGGGACGTCCCCCAGAAGTGTGAGCACAGCCCCACGGTTCTCTGCTTTCGCCTCACGCCCCAGGCTCTGTCTTGTCCCTTCCTCTCCTCTCCTCTAGGTTCTTGTGTGCCGCCTTTCAAAAAAGTGTTTGCTGAAACTGCATTTTTGCTCTTCAGGCATTTGGTACTTTCCTTTCACACTGCCACATCATTTCCCTGCTCAAAATGTAATTACCCACCGACTCCCCCCAAACACTGGATTTTGGTTTAGGAAGGATTATGCTGGGGAACAAGCCTTTGGTGAGAAGATGACACTATTTAAGGGCTTCTGGTGGAGACAGCCTCCAGGGTAAAGAAGATATATGCCTGCCTTCTCTCAAATTATAGCTGGGAAGTGCAGCATGAAAAGGATTTGGAAGAAGTAGCCAAAAGGGTTGTTGGGTTCTCAGAAGGGGGAGTCTCTCTCCCCCTCCCCCATACACAATAGAGGGAAACTGGTGTATTCCCAACTTGCTTTTGTCCAGAGACTGGGAAGGCTGTGGAATCCAGGGACCAGTTAATAGCTAACTCGGACTTAAAGAAGGGGCTCCACCTTGCATCGCCACATCTGGTCTTCTGCAGATCTGGGGATGTTTTGTTTTATTAGAATCTTAATTTCTCATCCCCCCCTCTCTTCCCCTCCCCTTATTGCTCATTGCCTCTGCCAGCTGTCATAGGGCCAGCGGTGATTTGTCGTAATTATTACAAGACCCAATCTTCTATGCACACCATAAACCTGAATCCCTGTTTGATCCAGAATGCTCGGGGGTGACTTCTCTCTTTCAGTTTTATTGTCTTAAAAGCTATAAAACCAGGGACATTGGAAGCCTGCAATCAGTGCTGGCTATTATAATTTTTGTTAGAGTTGCTATAGCAGTACTGACCAGGGTTTTGCTTCAAAAACAAACCAACCCACAACACTGCACAACTGTCCGTTCTGCAGGCATGCTGCTGTTTTCCAAATGGCGGGACATACTGGTTTCTTGAACACAGCCAGTGTGTTTTTGCCCAGCAAAGTTCAGTTTTTAAACCGACACAATAGGCCTGTGTGGCTCAGTTCTAGGAGAGGAGGGGTCCTTGTCCAACAGCCTGTGTCTGGTTGGACTGCTGTGTTGTTGGGATGAGAGAATGTCCTCTGTGTTGGCCTCTCTCTCGGATTGTCCCCATGTTGCTCTGAAGTGCTCCTGGTTCACAGAGTGTATACGGGAGAACCATTTGCTATTGGGAAATGGTGCTTTGCCCTCTTTGTACCCTTACTTCCAGAGTCACTCCATTTTAACCAAAGGTGTGGCATCTTGACACCCCAGAGCATCCAGCTATTTGGGTCTCTGAGCTGGTTTATTCAGTGGCCTTCTTCCTGAGTGTTAATTGACTTATTGATCCATCAGGCAGCCAGAAACCCATCCTAAGGTTTAAAAGGGATTTGCAGGGTAAACTGGAACCCCACACCCAGCTCCCTGTCCTCTCCATTGTCTTGCAGATTTGGGTCTACCCTACTCCATGAAAAGGGGACCTCTGTTATTTTGGGAGATGGGGATTTAGACCCCAGGAGCTAGTTTGGTTGAATCACTTCACCCCCGAGGTCTCATCCTCCTTATCTGAACAGGGAGGCTGGAGTGGATCTCTGTGGACTTCTGTGGTTTAGTGAAGGGGCCTCAGTTGGTTGAGTCAATGTTTGTTATACATACCCCTGTTTAAGAATATCCCTGTTTAATAAACAAAAGACTAAACTCAGAGATACAGACAACAGAATGGTTGTTACTGGAGAGGATGGGGGTGGTGGAGGACAAAGAGGGTAAAGGGGATAAAATACAAGGTGACACTGGGGTGGTGAGCACATAATACAGTATGCAGATGTTGAATTATAAAGTTGTACACCTGAAGTTTATGTTATCAACCAATAAATATTACCCCAATACACTTAATTGTTTTAAAAGACTAACAAGAAAAAAATAAAGAGATTATCCCCTGCTTAAGAGTGGTTCTAAAGTCCAGATTTTCTAAACTGGTAAAATAGGGGGAAAGTTTATTACTCTAAGAATCCTGATGCTAGGAGCAGTGTGGCACATGGAAAAGCCCATGGCTTTGATTTCGGGTCCAGGTTCTATCTATGTGACCTTGGGCAAGTCCCAAGACTTCTGAATCTCAAGCTTCCTTATTTGCGAACCAGGGATCAGACTGCTTAAAACTGAAGTGTGGTTGTGAGTCTGTAAGTTCGCCTTCTTTCTACTAAGAGATTCTGTTCATAAACTTTTCCTAATGAGGGTCCAATGGCATTCACACCACAGGTCACCTTCAGGGGAAGCTACTTCTATAGCTGGCTCTTACTTCCTAGAGGTGGGTGATATAGGCTACGAAACCATCCCAGCAGCATGTGGTGAGGTCACACGGGACAGTGGTGATATCCACTCTGGTTTTCTTTCCTGTTCTGCAGTCTCCTCTCACATACCAGGGCAAGGCCCCCAGAGACAGTGCTTGCAACATTGGAATCCTGGCTTTTGAAGAAGGGGTTGACCAGAGGGCTTGGCTTACGCAACCACACTAGACTTGTCCCAGAATCTTGGGAACTCCAGCCCACTCTGGCCCTCATTAAATAAGTGCTCAGTGGGACGAACAGCACGTGAGATGCCCCTGGAAGGCCCTGATGCGGGGCCCAGCTGCCGGAGCCTGAGATTGCAGACTGCCACGGTGTGCGGGGTCAGCATGTCTAGCTGCCTGCGATGACTTTCTCCTTGTAGTGGTCCAGGTTGGATCCAAAAGAGTGGAAGGAGCCAAGGTTTAATGTTTGCCTCCGACCTGCCAGCCAGTGTGCTGGACCCTTCTCAGTCAGTCTGATGAGATTCCCTGGAAATCTACCAATGTCTGTCACAAGCACTGTTTTTCTCTGCATGGGAAGGGGAGGGAGAGAAAATCTGAACCCAGAGTCTGAATCTGTAAACAAAAGTGGCGAGGCTACTTTATCCCAGTAGAACCTGGTGCCCCATCTTCATCAGTCACCTCTCACATCCAGGGGTCTGAGAGATCCACTGAGGCAGGCTAGAATATTCTCGTTCCACAGATGTGCTCACATAGAGACTCCCAGCAGCCTGGCAGCCAGGCCTCGAGCCCCGCACCAGTTCATTCCCTCATTTACTCATCCAGTTTGGGCCGAGTCCGCGTTGGGCACCGGGAGATAGTGGACCTCACAGAGATCCGTGTTTTGTGGACACCAGCCTACTAGTACTTTCCAGAGACAGGCCTTGCCACACTGTTTCCTGTGGCCTCCCCCTGTGCCCCAGTTAATCTAGATAGTGGAACTGCTGGGAAGGGAAAGGGGTGCCATCTGCCCCCGCCCCCCCATATCAGGCCGTTGGGCAGTCTCATGGAGATGTATTCACTTGACAAACCTTCAGTTGTTACTGATTGGCCTGCTGAGCTCCTAGTGACAGCCACCCAGGCAAGGATTCTGAGGTAGGTAGGATGCTCTCTAGGTCTTTGGGGACACTTTCAATCTAATGGGGGAGCCAGGCAGGCAAACAGTAGCAACTCGAGTACCCTGCTTGCTAAGAGTGCTTAGGAATTAGGCATGTGCCTAAAAGGTTGGCCAGTCTGACCTCCTGGTTTTATGACAAATGTTCCCAGTCTTGGTGGTGACTTGTCCCAAGTCACACGTCCCTGGCAGAACTGAGAGTGAAACCTGGTTTCCCTTTTCCCCACCCAGCCGCTGTCTGGAGTACCGCTTTCCTCTGCTTCCGCTCCATCATCATAGTTTTAACTGCCTGCGGGAGGCTTTAACTCCTGCAGTCCCCAAAGAGACGCAGAGCAGGGGCATTGTCCCCTTTGGTGTCAGCTTTCGCCTTGGCAACTTTTTCCTTGATGAAACTTGCCACCAGCCTACCCCGGAGGTGGCCTGAAGAGCGACCTGCAGTTTCCCTGAGACTGGAGAGGGCTGGGTGGTGCTGCAGGGAGGCTTGATCAGATCTGCAGCCCAGGTTCATGCGGGTGCCAGGAGCCCAGGCACAGCGATGTGAATGCCTCCTCCTCTGGGTTGGCTCAGGTTCCAGGAAAGCTGTATCCCTACCACAAGTATGCTGGCGCTGCCTGCCGGCCGTGGTCTGGAGGACTGCGGAGGCCCTGGTCCTTGGTGGCGGTGTCTGCAATGGAGGGGAGAAGTAACAGTCTGTGACCAAGTTCCCTAAGCTGTGCTTTTTATTAAGGACGTCCTTTCAGAGTAGGCTGGTTGGACTCTTTTCCTACATTCAGTTCAGGGGGAAAGCTGCACAGGTGCCTTAGGGGTCGTGGGACTGACTTTTGTGCACAGTGAGGGTAGATGAGGGACAAGAGACATCTGGGCTACCTGTCCTGTGCTGAGTGCTCCGCTAGGCTCCTGGCACGTGTCGGCCCATTTAACGCTTACAAGGACCCCGTGAGGTTTTATCCCCACTTGGCCGAGAAGGACATTGTGGCTCAGAGGGATTAGAGATGGAGTGGGCAGGTGGTTGAATGTGGGCTGACTGGTCTTCAGACCTTGTGAACTTCCCGATTACCTCTAGAAACCATGGCGGGGT